AGGGCGGTGCCGCCATTACCCCCAAGTATGGCGACTGGAAGAATGTCACTGCTATATTCCCCATTCATGATGTCGATACAAATAAAAAGTGGATACGAGACTGGAGCTCAAAGACTTTCCTCTCCGATGACGACTTGGATCAGATCCGGAACAAGTTTGGAGAAAGTGTATGTACAGCGAAGTTGTTCTTCTTTGGCCTGGCTAACATATGAGGCAGGTTGGATTTTACTTCTCGTTCCTACAGTGTTACTTCCGATTTTTGATTTTCCCAGCAGTCTTCGGATTCTCCTGTTGGTTCCTGCTCGGCGGATATTCGATTATTTATACTGTCGTCAATTGTCTTTGGTGTATCATCTTTGTGGAATACTGGAAGCGCCAGGAAGTTGATTTGAGCTGCAGATGGCAAACCAAGAACGTCTCAGCTGTTCGGACCAAGCGACGAGAGTTCAAGGCAGAAACAGAGGCCTACGATGAGGGTACCGGTGAGATGCGCGGTGTCTTCCCGGCAACTAAGCGCATGCAACGACAGCTACTTCAAATCCCGTTCGCCTTGCTTGCAGCAATTGCTTTAGGTGCTATCATAGCGACTTGCTTTGCCATTGAGATCTTCATCTCAGAGCTCTACAATGGTCCTTTGAAGACATACTTGGTATGGTGATCCTTCCCATTCCCTGTGACCAAAGCTTACCCTTCAGATTTTCATCCCAACCATCCTTGTGTCAGCGCTTGTGCCAACCATGAGCGCCATCTTGACGTCTATCGCAACGAAACTTAATGATTACGAGAACCATGAGACAAGTGACGCCTATGATGTTGCATTGACCCAGAAGGTCTTTGTTATCAACTTCATCACGTCTTACATGCCAATTTTCCTGACGGCCTTTGTTTACGTGCCCTTTGCTAGCCGAATTGTCCCCTACCTCGATGTCTTCCGCTTGACAGTTCGGCCTTTCGTGTCGAAGGAACATGCCATCTCAAAGCGATCGAATTTCCAAATCGACCCAGCTCGCCTGCGAAACCAGGTCGTCTACTTCACTGTCACGGCTCAGATTGTTGGTTTTGCAATGGAAACTATTGTGCCGTATATCAAACAGCATGCACTCCGCAAATACAAAAAGTACAACAAGGAGCGCAATGGTAAGATGAACGGAAACGGCGACAAAGAATCGCCTGAAAGACCCGTCGTGTCTTTCGATGATCCGGTCGATGAAGTGCAGTTCCTCACGCGTGTGCGCAACGAGGTCGAGCTTCCCGAGTACGATGTGACCGATGATCTACGTGAGATGTGTATTCAATTTGGATACCTGGCCCTTTTCTCACCCACATGGCCGCTTGTTCCCCTTTCGTTCTTTGTGAACAACTGGATTGAGTTGCGATCCGATTTCTTTAAGATTTGCATGGAGTTCCGCAGGCCTGTCCCATCGCGGACGGACACGATTGGACCTTGGCTCGATAGTCTGGGATTCCTATCTTGGGTCGGTAGTATCACCAGTGCTGCACTGCTGTACATGTTCAGTGGCAACACGCAGCACGGGCCCAATGGTGAGCCGACAGATATCAAAGGCTGGGCCCTGCTTTTGACAATCTTCTTTTCCGAGCACCTGTATCTTATTGTGCGGTATGCTGTGCGGGCTGGTATGGCTAGGATTGAGCCCCCCAATTCCCGCAAAGAGCGGGCTGATCGTTACCTCATGCGCAAACGCTACCTTCAGTCGACAACCAATGCGGAGGTGGACGAGAAAAACGATGAGGATGATATCACATATATGGTTCAGCCAACTGACGTCTCACGCACGTCTCTTGAAGATGATGCTCGGCGTGCGTCCTCGCATGGCGCCGACCCGGACAACCGTTTCTGGTTGCACCAGCGGGGCTGGATGGAGTCGGCGAAGATCGGAGCTGGGATCATACAGGCACAGCCTAGCAACGATAGCGCGAAGAAGCAACAATAGTGCTTCGGAGTTGGGCAGAGTCAGGATGTGGATGCAGGGGCTTGAGAGGCCTATGTTATGGGGTGGGATACGAGATTACGAGACTATATACGTTCAACTTAGTACGCGATGTGCAGGTACATAGTAATTACCGATATACGTTCGATCTACTTTTTAAGCTGTCCTAAATGGAATGATTGTCCAGTGGCTGGTGCCTCAGGCAGAAATGTCGGAGTACGTGGTGACTATGATGTCATGTTGACTTGGTCGGAAACAAGTAAACCCGTTCCGATACCGGATATGGGCGGCATGTGGTCAGCAGTAGAACGAATCGTCGACATGTCCATGGGTACGACGAGATCATGCAATTGGATGAATGTGACGAGCTACATAGTACATATCATGAGGTTGTTGTTAAACCCAATCATAGCCAACATGTGGTATCAAAACCAGTTTAGCGGCAAAAAAGTGTCGAGATAAACTCTGGGGTAGGAGCTACCGCCTCACTCACCGCCTACTCAATGCGACATCTTCGCTTACCAACTCCTTACATAAATCGACGATCGCCCCAAATCCTCTGACTCAGAATCCTTAAGTAATCCTCCTCCTCCTCCAGGGCCCGCCATCAACTTGCTTACAGCATCGGATCTGTAACTGCTTACCTCATTTTAGCTGTATTTTGTGTTCAGCAAAGCAGCTCTCTTTGCTCTCAATTCTTTTGGAAACTAAAGTGCCGTGCAAAGTCACTGCCCAATACCCTCTCGAATCCCCTTTCTGCTTAATCAATGCAACCTGCACTGGCGCCAGCGCCGCATCCAAGCATGCAGACTTCTGCTCAGGTAAGCAGGTCATCTTGAACGCGTTTGTCATCAGATCTATATGACTTCCTCGATGCTTTGGATACAAGACACTTATGTCGCGTTACCAAAATGTCGGGACGACGTTTCGACGCGTCGGGTCTCCCTGCAGTCTTGCCACGTCACCTTGGTGCTTCGTTTTGTTATTTGCTACTGTCCATGCTAACATATGACTGTAGGACCATGCGGATCAGGGTACGTGATTATAGTTTAGAGCTTTATTGATGTTTAATTGCCATTACTTTTGGGGGATTCAAGGATTCGCGGTTTTCTGGGTTGAAAATACCCTACCCCGATCTTCTACTTCATCTCACCTAGGAAAATTAGGGCTGCGCGTCGCACATGATTGTTCCCCATTGCTGACATGATCTTATAGTCCTTCATGACCAGCTTTTGGCTGCTCAGCACCACCTAGGCGGTCGTCCGCAGGGTGCTCCAGGCCAACAACAACACTTGCAACCCAACAATGCTAGCCCGCGCGACCAGCCAAACATTGACCCTGCCATCTCGGGTGCCATGCTCGGCGCTCCCCAAACTCCCACCCAACCCCAGGGCTCTCCCCCATCTGACGGCGGCTCCAAGAGCTATGGGAAGCGTGAGCTGTCCACTTCTAAGCGTGCTGCCCAGAACCGTGCCGCTCAGGTATGTCCTTTAGATATCGTACACAGAGTACTCTGCTAATCATCAGAATAGCGCGCATTCCGCCAGCGCAAGGAAACCTACATTCGCAAACTCGAGGAAGAAGTGAAGAACATCGACCCCCTCAAGGAGCAGGTCAAGTCCCTGGTGGGCGAGAACTACCAGCTGCGTGAATATATCATCAACTTGCAATCGCGTCTTCTCGAAGCCCAGGGTGAAGTCCCCGAGCTGCCTGCCAACATAGATTTGAGCCAGCCTCGCACCACTGAGATGGCGCTTGCTTCTGCCGGAATTCAGAACTCTAGCCCTCCAGGGTCGGTGCCCACCCCGGGTGCACAAGGCCAGCACTCTTCTGTCTCCGATGACATGAACTCTCTGAACCGCATCGCTGCGGCAACTCTTGGAATGCGTAAGCACCCTGATGACACGGCCTTCCTCAACAACAACAGCTTCCAGCAGAATAAGCGGGTGCGCACAGATGATAGCCAGGACGGAAATGACGGCGTGAACAAGCAGGAGATTCCGCACGGTCTTCCTATGGTCAACTGATCGCCATGCCGTTTTAATGCGTCTTGATTGCCTACGTTCTGCGATCACCTTTCGATACCCGCGTCTGTGTCTTTTGTTTGCTTCTGTCTTATTCAGCTTCGGTGTTACGTTATGCTTGACGACGACACTTGCCATATTTCTATCTCGCCTGTTCTGCTGGATCTCCTGTGCCTTTCTACTTTACCGTTATGTCACGTCCCCCCTTTGCGTAACGGTGTGTGGCGCAGCGAGTGATTCCATCCTCTTGATTTCGAATACGTGATTGGGTGGTGTTTTGAGATTTGTTACCTTCATTGTGGCAGATTGATGGGGAGTTTATTATTATTCCCGCATTTGTTTCATACTTCAATTTGATCTATCTGCTTAATTGCTTAATGGATGGTCACAAGACGCGGATACCCATACCTACCCCCGCGGACTTTCGCTGCCTCGTGGGCGATTTCTATAGCACTCCTTTTATGAGGACTTTACAATGTCGCCCAGCGTCAAGCTTGCTGGGCAACTTAGTCCGGTCTGAGGCTTTTGAGCTGCTCCGTGCTATCGGGTTTATGTGGGCTGTACTCCGTAGCATACTAATATTCTTCGGCGTTTTCAGGCCTTGTCTAAATTAATTCTTTGGAATGAAGTGAATAACCATACCCATAGACTAGAGATTTAGTGACACCTTTATGGAGAGATGAGATCCGATATTGAGGTAATCAAAGCGAGAGGTGTGGCTACATGTCCGTTTTCACAAGCGAAGAAGTCGGTTCACTTCCAGTAAATTCGTTCACTTATATATACACTTATACATGATCCGTGAATCTACTGCAAAAAGCATGACAGCATTGGCCTCATACGATATGTAGTACTTGTATACTTTTAGTGCTTCGAACACCTTCAGTCTGGGAGAAGTCTAGTTGGATATTTCACTGCGAAAAACTGTCATGCTTATCTATTTGTGTCCCTGCGTTGGATATGAATTCTCGTGGCCAGTCCAGATTATTGAACAACCTTGTCTTACCAATACCGTAGTATCTATCACTTACTGTTTATCGAGGCCATATTCCTTGATAAGGATATCAGCACAAGTAATACCAGTCACGTAAGCAGTAGCCTGGGTGTGGTTATTAGTGAGGACAGGAACAACACTCATATCAGCAACGCGGAGGTTCTCCATGCCCCGAACACGGAAACGCGTGTCAACAGCAGCATCACTGGCACCAGTCTTGCCCATCTTCACCGTGCCAGTCATGTGCCAGCTGGAACAGAGCGTGTTCTTCCAGAACTCGAGGATGTCCTCGTCGGAATCAGACGCAGGCCCCATCAGCGTTGAGATAGTGTCCTTCGCAAAGCACTCCTGTCTACTGACATCGAGCAGGTGCCGATAAATTTCGATACAAGCGCGACGATCGTATGGATGTCCGAGGAACCGCGGGTCGAACAGCAGCGGGACGTCTGGGTCAGAGGACTGCAGGTGCACTTCGCCGCGGGATTGTTCGTTTATCATGAATGCTACAAGACAGCTATAGCTGTAATCTTTGAACATTTCGGGCTTCATGCAATGGAGGGGCATGTGGGTGGCTATCTCGTAGTGGGGGATGGTTTCGCGGTTCAGGAACTCTTGCACGGATGTTGGAAGCGCTTTGAATTCGGGCGAGGCGGTGATACGGTCTGATTTAAACCAGCCGGTGCCGATCTGGCAGCAGTATCGGTTCCATAGGCCGGTGTTGTCGTGAAGCCACTCTTTCATTGCAGCCTCCATGGCGGCGGGATCTTTGAAGAAGGAATTGCGGTCATTTGTCTCAGGGTTACGGGCAAGAACCAGAGGAACCAAGTAGTGGTCTCGGAGACCCTGGCCAATGGCGGGTAGATCGTTGACCACTGAAATGTTGAACTTCTCAAGCTCTTTAGCCGGTCCGATTCCAGAGTGCATTAGAATCTTTGGGGTGTCGAGTGTGCCTGCAGAAAGAATCACATCTCGAGAAGCGAAGTCTGTAATCCATGTCAGACGAAGTGCATAGTAAGAGTTCAGAATAAAATATACACTTTGTGCCCTGAGCCTCTACTCCAACGGCCTTTTTGCCTTCCAACAAGACCCGCTGTACTGGGCTGTCTGTGACAACGACAAGATTATGAGGAACATTTTCAAACATATCAACAGCCGTGGTACGCTCTCCCTTCCAAGCAGAATTGATTGTTGCAGCCATGCCAAGGGGATTGCCGGAGTTGTGATCCAAGTTGAGCTTGTGTCCAGCCACTTCGAATGCATCCAGCGTGGGTGCCAAGTCCCTTTCCCAATCCTGGGCATACCCGACGCGCAAGGGACCCGAGTGGCCGTGGTCGGAAGCAACCGAACGGACATATTTCTGATTTTTTGGAAGTACACGACCATCGAAGGTCTCCAAATTCTTGTAGCGGATATGCATCTCCTTCCATCCGAAGGTATCGTCATCCACCTCAGATGCCCACTCATCGTAGTCATCCCGCGCGCCTATAGCAAAGACCCCGAAGTTGATTGCCGAGCTACCTCCCAGACCCTTTCCACGGGAATAGTCGCCATCGTGCCCATTGCAATATTCCTGTGGTGTGGTCCTGTACCCCCAGTTCATGCTTGGTTCCCTCAATGTCGTCCAACGCTTTCCATTCACTCGCAAAGCTTTGTCATCATTGCGCCCACCTGCTTCAAGAAGTAGAACTTTAGGTCTTTGGGCTGATTTGGCGAGCCCCGCAGCCACGGTGCAACCAGCTGGGCCACCTGTTCAATGATGAGCATGAGAGATTGCAGGTGTGTATAGTGCACGATTACCTCCGACGATGACAAAGTCGTATGTGTTTTTAGATTCCATGTTGAAGGTAGCTTTCTAGAGTCAAGAATTCGTCAAGAGCAATCGTGAAGAACCTATTTAGATGAGGTCAGTGGCAACACGTCAAGTATATGTCATATCTTCTTTCTGGCATGTTTATGCCATTATTCCGTCTTTGCGTGCATTAACAGTAAGCCAACATGTGAAAAATAGTACAGCGTATTACCACTAGGCCACAATAATTGGTCTTGGTCTAAAGGCGGCTATATCTGTTCTGTTTCTTGTCTGACACCACACACTCAACATGACGGGTTGTACTCGGTACACCTTGGAAGAACCCAACAATAGATGGGGCAAGGAAATATACACCCCCAGGTTTAAGAGGGCTAGCGTCGAGACTGCAATCCTCACAGGATATTGCATTTGTTTATTTACGACACGGCTAAATGGGCCCTTGAGTCCAGGAGGTTCGTTAATCAGGTCAATTTTGCAGGGGTTGTAAATGTAGATCCTATGGCGAAGGATGCATAGCAAATTGAGGCTAATTCATTAGTGTAACACCAGAACAAGGCTGCAACATGGTATTAACCAAGGGCATTTAAACAAACTCTTTGTCGCACAGCATGGCTCGAATGGTAATCACCGGGATCAAATCCATGGTATTGATTCTCGAATCCAGTACCTTTCAACACTTGCACTGTTGCGAAGTCTGCAGCAAGCCCGATTTCACGTTGCTAAAAGATAGTATAAAGTGTCGCAAGATATCCCAAAATAGAAAACAATAAGACTCAAGCCGGGGATCCACATTGACTAGGATATCGATTTTCCCAAAGCTAGGAGGTTTCGCTTGAAAGTGAGCAGTCGTTTCTTCAGACAAAGCAAGTCATATCGGACGCGTAACATAGGCCCGTGCGGTTATATCTGCAACGGGAAGATCTGACGGGCCGAAGACGCATACGCATATTGTGCGCTCTGCGCGCTATGCATACGAAATATCCTTTCATGCCGATTGAACCATGGAGTATGAGTATTACTAGTTACGGAGTACGAGGAAAATCAGGTTTAAGTCATCAATGTCACGAGACCGTAGACCGACGCGCACGGTCCCTCATGTTGTTTTGGGTCTGGATCCTCCGCAAGAAAACTGACCAATCGCAGCTGAGAGCCTCCTTCCCCACTCCAGTAGTCGCGGAGGTTAGCGCAAAGAAGATTCGTCCTCGGCAATTGAGACATGTCGGTTCCTTATGGAGGGCGAAAGTATATTGTACATACTCCGGATATAGACGGCGCCACTCTAGCCACCCGAGCCACTCGAGCCACCTGAGGTTGTTAATTTCAATGGGGAAGAAAAAGAGAGTAGACCAAAAGCTGAGATTTGAAATCGGAAATGATCGTCTAGTTCTATTGTGTAGATCCCATTTAATTCTCAGTCACTAAAATTGGAACGAAAAAGCCCAAAAGTTCACGTGTGGCGGTTCCAAGGGTTCCCTTTCTCGGCTTAGCTTGGCATAGGGGCAAACCTTTATGCTGGGGATAGCTCTGGAGTTTTCTTTCCTCCTGTCTACTCATACTATTCTCATTATTATAATATAACGGCATTGCTGGACGTTCGCTTAGCTTCAATTTCCGCCTTGAGTCTTCGACCTCGTCATCGGAAACTTCTTTGAAACTTCCAAGTTACATCCGCCATTCTTCGGCAAACGAAATCGCGATCAGAGCCTCCCACAGATCTCAATCTCCTCAGGCCCAAACCCTCGATCCCTTTCATTCGGCATTGACCTCGTTGGCGCAAATGGTCTGCTCGGACTAGCAAAACTATGATGGCTATACCGGGGTTCTCACCAAGCGGGGCATGAAACATTTTCTGGTCTTTCCAATACCAACATTGAATATATCTCCCACCCAGGCTGGTTGAGTCGGCGACCATGACAGACCTATCACAATACCCCGACGGCCTGCATGGTTACCGTAGCCATAAATTGGCGGTGCGGACATTGATGATTGTCTTTACCTCCATCGCATTCTATAACGCCATCGAATTGCTCATATTGTTATTTTTCACCTTCACTCGTTATCGCGGACTCTACTTTTGGACGCTTTTGCTCTCGGTAGTCCTCGGAGTGATCCCTCACGCCGTTGGCCATCTCCTCGCGTTTTTTTCACTGGCCCCATTATGGCTCTCGTTGACTCTCTCCACTATTGGCTTCTACGTCATGGTCCCAGGTCAATCGCTGGTGCTATACTCTCGCCTTCATTTGGTGGTCAATAACAACAACGTGCTTCGGTTTGTTCTTTGGCTGATTATCATCGACGCGATCATTCTCTTGATCCCAACGACTATTCTTACCTACTCTACCGCATACATTGCAAATCCGGCAATTATTCGGGGATACAATGTCATGGAGCGGATGCAACTGGCCTGGTTCTGCGCCCAAGAGATTGTCATTTCGGGAATTTACATCATCGAGACCGCGAAGCTACTCAGAATGATGCCAGACAAGGACCGGCGCCGGTCCAGAATCCTATATGAGTTGCTGGCTATCAATTTCGTCATTATATTGCTCGATATTTGTTTACTCCTCGTGGAATACATTGGGTTTTACTCGTTACAGACCACTTTGAAGGCCATGGTTTACAGCATCAAGTTGAAGCTCGAGTTCGGTGTGCTCGGAAAGCTAGTCGATCTTGTGCACAATCATCGATCGCAACCCACTTCGTCCGAACACGAAGAATACCCTGGCTTCGTCGATCCTTCCCAGATTACAACGGATGTCACCCATGCAGCCCCACGGGAATTGCGACCGGGGGGACGGAGAGGCTGGAATACAATATCTGTGGAGAGCTTGCCCAATTCTGAGCGCGACACTCGTCCGTCTACCCAGTCGACTGGCAAGAGCCTGCATCCATCTTGAGGTTGGACTAGTGATCAATTGTCTACCACTCAGACCAATGGTCGAAATAAAACGAAATCAAGCAGGAGCAGGCCGTAGTTGCTTACTCCAACCGCCTTTCTGCTTTTACGTATGGCGGTGGGTGATGGTATCTTCGTTTGCTTTTCACAAGAAAAGTACCTCGACAAATCTTCGAAAGCAACCCATGATCCCGCCCATTAGAATTAAAATTCCCTGGTTTCATCACGCTTGCGCAGCGAGCCGTTTTCGCACCTCCGGCGCATCAATCAAATGCCCATCGTTCCTTACATCCCAGCGAGATTCGAACAGCCTTGCTGTCAATTCCTACTGAATGTACGATATACCTGTCTATCCAAAATTCCTCCAGGTCCACCATAGGCCTGCATTGTTTATATGTGCCAGATTTATATTGGCAACAATAATTATTTAACGCCACGTCCACGATTTGTTGATTTTCAGCCTTATGATGTAATTACTTCAATGAAATATTACGTCGCCATGACATCTCATCAGACACCAAAACCAGTTGGCAAAGTTTTAAATTTAGACAAAAGCGTCTCTTTGTAGTCAATGCAGCATGGAAACCACCGTCTCGATTTACCACGGCCCGTACGAGTCCATCCCTGACAACGCTTCACCAGGCCTTAAGTTTCTAAAACGATTCCTACCAGCACTAGACTCCCTAACCCCCGGCGAAAATGTGATCAGCCCTTTCTTCACATCCAGCGCCCCCATCCTCATCGCCAGCGATCCACCAACAACCGCAAGCCAAGCAGTCCCTATCCTCGAAGTGCGCAGCCGACATACCTCCAAATTCCACCACCATGTTGATCTCGCCTGGGATATAGACCTTCGAGGTGACACAGGCCCCATCAATACGTCGTACAGCAGGACTGCTCCAAACGCGGACGCCGCCCAAAAAGGACAGCTCTATGCTCCGCTAGTAGGGAACATACAGATGAAGCGCACGGTTATGTTTGAAGCGACATCGGAAACAACCTTCAGGGAGGATCCCGACCAGTTCGCAGTTCGAGTCCGTGAGTTCAACATCCTCGACTTGGAAGGCCGCGACGAGTCGGATCTGCAGATTGTTGAGATGCGTATCTTTTTGGACCAGAGACCTCTCCAGGCTCATTCTGCGAGTCTATTCACGGGCTCCGGCTATTCCGGATCTTAGGCTGGAGTACTCCGTATACGTAGATTGGATAAATGTAATGAAATTTCATGGATCGATGTGCTTGGCTTCTCCACTGCGGAATCATCTACTAAGCCCCAAGTTGAACCAACCCCCGCGCCCCCACTTGGAATGCTTCCATGTCTTTCTTATCTTTGGAGATCATATTCGGCAAGGGATTCCTTTCCTGGCGGCTTTTTGCCTCTTTGCCTTATAAGGTTGCATTGCCCAGTGCCGGAAGTTGTAGACGATTCAAAAATTTTCACGAGTTAACAAGACAAGATGTTGGCAGCACAGAAACAAGCAGAGATCATCCACAATGTCTCTGGGGCTTTAGATAAGTATGAATCCAAGCTCAGTGAGATCAATCTGAAGGCGTGTATGATATAGGCAAGCATATTAAGGCTTTATTAACGATCTATAGATCTGGTCCAACCCCGAACTTTCATTCAGAGAGAATAGCGCCCACGACAACATCTGCGAACTTTTCGAGTCACTCGGGGATGGATACAAGGTTAACAGAAAAGCGTATGGAATTGAAACGGCATTTGAAGTGATCCATAGCCACGGCCAGGGTGGACGTACCGTTGCCTTCAACGCAGAATACGATGCCCTTCCCGGCATGGGACATGCATGCGGACACAATCTGATCGCTACAAGTTCGATCGCGGCTTTCCTGGCCACGTGCGAAACAATGCGTAGTCTGTACTCCGATGGAATTGGCTATTCGGTTCGGCTTCTGGGGACTCCAGCCGAAGAGGGTGGTGGTGGAAAGCTGCTCCTCATCGACGCGGGAGCATACAAAGATGTGGACGCGTGCTTCATGGTGCATCCATTCCCCGTGCTTCCCGGCGCCTCTGATCTTCTAAGCGCGAGTTGCTGCACCGGGCTGTATCTTGCAAACGACAAGGTGAAGGTGACGTTCACGGGCAAGCCGGCGCATGCGTCGGCTGCTCCGTGGAAGGGTATCAATGCGCTAGATGCTGTGGTGTCTGCGTATGTGAACATTTCAATGCTGCGACAGCAGATCTTGCCGACGCAAAAGATTCATGGGGTTATTTCGCGAGGCGGTGATAGACCGAATGTTATTCCTGCCTCTGCGACGGTTGAATACTATATTCGATCGGAGACTGCGAAGACATTGAAACCATTGACCGAGAGGGTGCTGAAATGCTTTGAGGCTGCTGCGATTGCTACTGGCTGCACGGTGGAATACGAATGGTATGAGAATTGGCGATGGTCTATTTTGATACGCTTCGCTAACGCATCTGTCAGGGAGGCCTCGTACAAGGACATGAAGAGCAATAAGCCCATCTGTGACAGCTACGTCTCTGCTATGAATGCTATGGGCCACAAAACTATCTTCGATGCCGCGCAGCAGGCAGGGGGGCTTAGTGGAGGGTCAACCGATATGGGTGAGTGTTCCAGATCCTCACAGTTTGACCTGAGGCTGAGCCACTCCAATCTAGGCAACGTTTCATACGAAGTACCTGGCTTCCACGGTGGATTCTTCATTCACGCCGATGGAGTTAACCATACGCCGCAATTTACCGCCGGAGCCGGATCCGAGGATGGGTTCAAGCGTAGTTTGCAATGTGCAGCGGGGATGGCTGTGGTGGCGTGTAGAGCCTTGGTCGATGCAAGTTTCGCCACTGCCATCAAGTCGGACTTTGAGAAGAGTCTGGAATTGTAAATACTAGGTTTGCATTTAGCGTTCTCTCGTATTTCTTGTGGGATCTTTCGAAATTCAAGTACAAGGATATGACCCGTGCTCCTTGACAACTTACCCTATTTGTACAAAGACGATTCGGCAATTGTCGCAGATAGAGTGTGTGCCGATCGACAGTGGATACAACTGCCGGACTTGGCCTCCACTGAGGGGGAAGCGGATGTTCCCCCAAATTGCCTCCGTCATGACTTTGACACCATGAAAGTGGGGTGCCGAGGAAGATTTATTCTTCGCGGATCAACTTCGCGGGGAAATTCCGGTAACCTCTTACCAACGCCGAGACCGACTGCATGTGTATAAAATCCTCCTTTGGCGTGAGAAGTGTTGCAATCTCGGTTGCGATCGGTCACCGTCGGCCATCAGCCACGGGCACAGGGCTTGATGCTGCCGGCTGAGTCTTCCCTAATCCGTCGATAGTCTTGGCTGATCCCATACTTCTTTTGAATCTATCCAAACCCCCGGAAATGGATCCAACGCGATTCGCCCATAATGTACCTGTTCTATTTCTGTATCGCTATGCGAGGAGAGAACTGCATCGACTAGCCGATAATTCGTATTCTAAACATCCACAGGCCTGGCGAATGTGATACCGGTGGTTCGTTTGCCTCTCACTAAACCCGTGGACGCTCCGATGGCTTGAGAAAACAAAGAGAACCGCTCGTGTCCGTCCACTGTCACTTTATCTCGCACTTCATTTCATTTTTTGTTTATTATTCCCTTCCTCTGTGCATGTTCTGGACCTCGGCGAACACCGACCCTATTTTCCCCCTCTTTCGAATAATTCCCCCTATCAGATATCCAAGAGGCGGTCATAGCTTTGACGGATATGACGAGTCTCTTTGTTATAGCTGCATGATCTGTTTTCTATATGCAGAAGCCCGGTGCACGTGTTGGATCTGTTGGTCTTTTTTTCCTCTGGGAAGTTGTCCTGCTTTCATTGGAAAAATATGCAAATCTTTCGTCGACTCGATGTATCATTATGACTGCGCACAAACTTTTCAAAACACAGACATTAATAGAAAGTAACACATATAACAATAAAAACAAGCATGTCTATAGCGACAGGGGTATAAAATGAAAAAAGCTGGCCGCCCAGTGATGATTCGACTATAGCCAGTCGAAGTTCATCTTGCAGTATACATCACGTATGGAAAATTATGTCCCTAACAAGTTATTAACATCTGTTCTTACTTCGGGCGCTCGATTAATGCCATTTCAATCGAAGACTGCGTATCGGATGAGGGCAGCCGAGGCCGAGCATTTGCCCGTGACTCAACAATGTCCATAGTTGACATTGTCTGGCGCATGGCCTCGTGAAAATCGTAGATTCCGCTGCGCGCTGAATGCTGTTCCGACCTCGCCGTTCTCCCAGCAGTGCCAGCACTGGAGCTAGCTTGCGCCTCAGTATCCTGTGACGGGGGACTGTTTGCGAGCATGTCGAAGAGATTGATGTCGGTCGAACGACGAGCATTGCCATTAGCCCCTTGGCAAAAGGCGCATGGGTAAGTGCGTGTCAGCTCGCGGAGCTGCGTAAGGGCGTGGAATTCGAGTTTCAGCTTGATACTGTAGGCGACTGTCTTGAAGCTGATGACGATGTAGTGCACTTTGTACTCGGCGAGGAGGATCAATACGTTGAGCAGGATGCCGAAGAGATTAACGAAGAGTATTCGGTAGATGATTCTTCGGCCCTGCGGTCCTTTTGATTCGAAGACGGGCTTGAGCGCTCGGAGTGCCTCGCGGACGTAGATGGCACAGATTATTGTATCTTGGATGGCGAATCCGGTTGCCTGTAAACGATCGTAGATTCCCGATACGGGGCCGCATGATATATTGCCAACGTTGAGACCGAAAAGGACGGCCATGGGAATATGGAGGATGAAGAAATTGGTTATGATCATCCATAATACCCATCGTACATGGCGGATATCGGCCACGACGAGGTGCAGTCTGGAATATAGCACGAGCGCTTGTCCAGTCACCATGCAGATCCAGCCCACCATAAAAGGGACTGACATGGCAATGGCAGAGGCTTGTTGTGTATAGCGAATTTGAGCTGGTATGGCATGTAACAATATCCCCCAGGCCGCGACTTGCATGCTCCAGAAGTATAGCCCGTGATACTTTTTGAACCTTTCGAATATGCAAATCACAACTTCCAACGAGTTCCACGCTCCGATCGAGAACATAGCTATGACCTGGACGATCGTCAAGTTGGTATTTAAAATGAGGCTCACCTCCACAGGGAGGTTGCTCATTGAGGTGTCCATAGCGTGTGAATCGGTTTGGCCATGTGGATAAATCAGCCGGCGGGAAAGAAAAAATATATATTGGTCACAGCTCGGACAAATGCCCCATCTAGCTGACATACACCATTATAATGGAGACTTCCCTCGAGCGCCTCATCCTGGGCCACGGGGTGGGACGGGATAAGGTTGACTGCTGGTGTAGAAGGTGGATCATGTCACTGGCGAGTCATGCCCTTCGCATAAATGAGAGAGAAAGCACCAATGCAGTCTATGATGCTAGCCCACGGGGATCTGGGGCAGATGTTCCGGTTCATTAGACAGTCAATGAAATTCTGAATGGGCTATTGGTAGCAATGATATGAAGATCCCAGTTTTCCCTCCCCCTTAATCATGTTGGTTGGAGAGCTTATTGGACACAGCAAACGAAGGGACAAAAGTCGAGAGGCTATCGGCGCGCCAAACAGGGATTCTCGGGATCTCAAACAAAGAAACCCAGCCAGAAGTCGTGCACTGATCACATTTCTTTCGCTAGTGGCGCACCGAAATGGGAGCCCAGACCTCCCATCGAGGCATTCAGGCATTGGTAATGACGATTGACTGAAGAGATATGGAGTACTCCATACGGAGTAGAGAGGAAGAGAAGAAGAGAAGAATAGGGATGGATTGACGTCGACGTTGAGGCTTGGCGCCCGTTGGACTCGGAGCTCTCCTGACAAGAAGTGGCCAGAGCGGAGTACTTTGTGCACAATGAAGTGTTGTCTTTGAAGTAATCCGTATTCGTATAGAAATATAACAATAAGCATGGAGTATAGATTGACCGCTTCAATATTCAACGTATCCAATATATACAGATCGGTGAAAGGTGACACGTACATGGAACTTATCCAAAAGCTCAAGCGCTGTGCTACGAAGAAGAGATAGTACAGAGTAGAGAATGTGTACATTAATAGATTGGATACCGCTAAGCCATGTACCCCTTATTGGACATGTAATTTGAAAAATCGTGTCATGTCAAATCCCTCCTGAATCTCTTTGGATTTATTTCCGATCAACCTCCAGTTCTGGGTAATCAGGGAGTTTCCAGTCCCCATCCCTATCGCTTAAGAACCGTGACAACAGTTGCGGTATGCGAAGGAAACAAGCTAGTCCTAGAATGAGATGCAGAAGTGAAATTTCCCATTGTGAGTTGGGGATTGCCCATCGGAGCAATCCAGTGTTGAATGGCTGAACCAGGTCGATGAAAGGTCGCATTTTCTGATGGTAGTTTTGAAAGGCCTGGGACAAATCTTCACTGCGAGCAAGCTCTCCAGCCAGGATATATGCCCCAACCAGACCACTACTTGTCCCCATTCCACTCAAGGGAGAAGGACAGTATGCCGCATCCCCTAGAAGGACAACCCGACCGGAGTGCCAGGTATCTGTCTTGATTTGGACGACATTCTGGCAGAACCAGTTCTCTGTAGTGTCCATCCCTTCAATAAACCGATCGGCCTGCCACCCCGCGTCGCGAAACCTTTCGGCCCAAAACTGTTTTTGCTGCCCAACTGAACGTTTCGGGATATTCCGAAGTTCTTCCGAGTCAGATCTAAGCGTGAAGTAGACCTGGGTTTCCGCTTGATTGTGGCTTCTAGTCAGGATCATCCGGCCGCCCGGGCAGAGGTACGACTTGCACATATTGCTGTCAGTTTCAATCCGTGGAACAAACCAGTACGCCATGTGTACACCGAGCTGGTGATATTCGTTCGGGGCATCGGGAGGTAGAATGTGCTTTCGAATTTGCGAGCCCTGCCCGTCTGCTCCAACCAGTAGATCAAATGTATCCGAAGAGCCGTCGGAAAAGGTTGCGACTACCCCTTGGTCATTTTGCGCGAAGCCATCCACCGTTTGGCCGAATATATATTTCACTTTGTCTTTTGTTGCGTCGTAAATCATGCGCACGAGATCCCCGCGCATGATCTCATACTCGGATGTCATAGACTGTGCACCCTTGCCAGACTTATTGGCGAGGACTTCCCCCCTGACATTGCCCTTCGCGTCAATGAAGGAGACGCCTGCTTCGTCGACGAGCTTTTCGCGAACGGCGTCCATGAGACCCATCCGTTTGACGGCCTCGATGCCTTGTCCGCGGAGGTCGATCTGGGCACCTGTCGCTCTTAGCACTGGGGACCGTTCGACGATAACAACTTGGTGACCATTTCGGACGAGCCAGAAGGCCAAAGCTGGACCTGCGACACCTCCGCCACAAATGAGGACTTTCAGAGCCATTCTGTAGAGATTATCTAGGAGAGAGTTAGAAGAAACAGATTCTCTGTGTCATCAGCAGTCTGGATTTGAATTTTAGGGGTAGTAAGCCGGCCTCGCACAATTCGGACATAAAGGGCAATTGCTCCTTTTCGCTGTATATACCGGTTTGTCATAGTGGGTCATGACTCTGCATCGGAGGCATCTCATAGGCAACTATTTTGGGGCTGCGGAGGCCCGTGGCTGAAAATCAAGGAACGGGAGTTTCACCAGTACGTTGAGTATTTGAATCATCCATAGAAAAAAAACCAAGAAGTTAATGCATGATAGAGCTAAGTAACACTACAAAAAATGATATGTAATCGACAAATTATTCACAGGCGCGGACGGCCGGTCACAGGGAAACAAGGGATATCATAACGGTCCAAATTCATAACCTTGGCCCAGGCAGCAACAAAGTCCTTCTTAAACTTATCCTGGGCATCGGAGCTGGCGTACAGCTCAGAAAGAGCACGGAGCTCAGCGTGGTGACCGAAGATCAGGTCAACACGGGTGGCAGACCACTTCTTGGCACCGGTCTTGCGGTCGAAACCTTCAAACTGCTCACTGTCAGCGCCGGTTGGCTTCCAGACAGTGCTCATGTCGAGCAAATTGACGAAAAAGTCGTTGCTCAGCTGGCCAGGGCGGGAGGTGAAGACACCGTGGTTTGATCCGTCCCAGTTGGCGTTCAGAGAACGCAGACCACCAACCAGAACGGTCAATTCAGGGGCGGAGAGGGTCAGCTGCTGCGCCTTGTCGATAAGGAGCTGCTCGGTGCGGACACGACGAGTCGAGTGGCCGTAGTTACGGAAACCATCGGCGAACGGCCGCAGCCAGCCGAATGACTCGACATCTGTTTGCTCCTGGGTGGCATCGTTGCGGCCAGGGGTGAAGGGAACGGGAATACCCGCGGATCTTTCAAGGGCGGCAGATCCAGCAAGCACAATCAGGTCAGCTACTGAGACGCGCTTTTCGCCGTTCTGGGCACTGTTGAAGCGGCTTTGGATGTTCTCCAACAGACTGAGGACTTCCTGCAACTGCGCTGGATTGTTGACATCCCAGTCCTTCTGGGGAGCGAGACGGATGTGGGCACCGTTCGCACCTCCACGCTTGTCACCACCCCGGAAGGTAGAAGCCGATGCCCAGGCAGTGGCAATCAACTTGGTGGGCTCAATACCGGTCGAGAGAATCTCGTTCTTCAGCGCAATGATGTCGCCATTGTCAATCAGAGCGTAAGTGGGAGCAGGAATGGGATCCTCCCAGAGAGAAACCTCCTTAGGGATCTCAGGACCCAGCCAGCGAGCGCGAGGTCCCATATCACGGTGCAGCAGCTTGAACCACGCACGGGCGAATACATCGGCGAGCTCATCAGGGTTCGCAAGGAAACGACGGGCAATCTTCTCGTAGGCGGGATCGAACCGCAGAGAAAGATCAGTGGTCAGCATCTGAGGCTTGTGCTTCTTTGAGTCAAAGGCATTGGGAACGATATCGCCCGCATTCTTGGCGACCCACTGGTTAGCACCAGCGGGACTCTTGGTCAACTCCCAGTCGAATTTGAACAGATATTCCAAGAAGTTGTTACTCCACTTGGTAGGAGTACTTGTCCAGGTCACCTCCAATCCACTGGTGATAGCATTAGGGCCTACACCGGAGCCGTGCTTGTTGTGCCATCCCAGGCCCTGTGACTCAATGCCAGCAGCTTCGGGCTCGTCTCCGACATTATCAGCAGGGGCTGCACCGTGTGTTTTTCCGAAAGTATGACCACCAGCAATCAACGCGACGGTTTCTTCGTCATTCATAGCCATACGAGCGAATGTGATACGAATATCTCTGGCAGCAGCGACAGGGTCAGGGTTTCCATCAGGACCTTCGGGGTTGACATAAATCAAACCCATGACGACCGCGGCCAGCGGGTCCTCGAGATCGCGAGTTTTGATATCGCTCTGTTTAGCCTCCTCCTCTGGGGTCTCGGCCTCATAGCGAGCTTCATTAGTAAACCAGACGTTCTCACTTCCCCAGTACACCGACTCATCGGCTTCCCAGACGTCAGGACGACCTCCAGCAAATCCAAATGTCTTGAAACCCATAGATTCCAAGGCGACGTTGCCAGTTAGAAGAAAAAGATCGGCCCACGAGATTTTGGTGCCGTACTAAGTACAAGAGTTAGTATTGATTGAGAAACTAGAAGTATAGAAGTGTATAGTTCTCACCTTCTGCTTGATGGGCCAAAGCAATCGACGGGCCTTATCTGGAAATGAAAGATACATATCAGCATGATATAGATGTCAACTCAACTATTAATGGAACTCACCAAGGGAAACATTATCGGGCCAAGAGTTCAATGGTGCGAAACGCTGCTGGCCCTGGCCACCACCACCGCGTCCATCGAAAACTCTATATGTTCCAGCGCTATGCCAGGCCATTCGGATGAAAAGACCACCATAGTGACCAAAGTCAGCGGGCCAGAACTCTTGAGAGTCGGTCATAAGGGCGTGTAGATCCTTCTTGAGGCCCCAATAATCAAGGGTCTTGAAAGCAGCGGCATAATCAAAGTCCTTATTTTGAGGATTGGTAGCATCAGTATGCTGACGGAGAATATTCAGCTTCAAGGCATTAGGCCACCAGTCAGTGTTCCTGGATGAGATCAGTATGTTGAAGCGGTATATCAAATGTGCCGAGGCAGAATCACGGGAGAACTAGGGACCATACCGGGTACCACCTCCAGCAACATTGCTCTTCTTGTGCGCAACAGGACATTCACCCATGATGGCAGTTGGTATGATAAAGAAAACGGGAAATCTGAAGAGAAAGAAAAGTGTCGGGAACAGGATGCCCCCGCAGTTTAAATGGTACAGGCTGTGGATCCAATGGCGGGTCACGTATTAAGCAGCTCCCATGTTTAGTGCAGATTCTCTCGATATGCTAGTTTAAAGGGAAATCATACGAAGATGACGTGAATTTATCTTTCTTGAATTTATCATTGGCCATGCAGCGACAAAATCCGGGGCGTGCGGGGAAAGCCATAACAGTCCCTCACGAAGAGATCAGGAACTCATTGGCGGAATGCGCCGAAGAGCGCCGGATTCCGATTCGACCCAATATATAATGAGCTGACAAAATGGCCATTTCTAGATGCTGGAGGTTGTTTGTAGATATGAGAAATGTTGAATCGGAGAATCTTTGCAGTCTGGCCCTATGATCTGACTAATGATAATTAGTTGGAGCCGGGCCCTGATAATCGCCCACCGGTCTATGTTGTATGTACGGAGTACGGAGCACGGAGCACGGAGCATATACTCCGAAAATCAATGTATGACCCTTTTTCCTTTTTGATTCACATATAGAATTAGTGGTCTAGTAGTACATAATTCGAAATTCTCCTTGAACGGTCCACTGATCCAGAGAAATCCTTGTTCGGATCATGGTTTATCCGAGCCAAATAGGGCGGTGTGTTCCAGCTTCGGAAGCGATTGCCTAATACAGACTAGCGTAAATATACAACTCTAACCAGCTCTGATAAACTGCATTCATCGTCCTATTCTTTGATAGCTTTACTCACTGGCTGGTTAGATAATAATATAGCCTCACCTATCTCTTGTTCTTCCCTTTCATATCTTCTAGCAATAGAAACCTACGTCACGTCTATCATTCTTCTCTACGGCAAGCTGGCAGAAACAGTTCAAACCCACCCAAACATCAACTACATAATCCGTGATTTATCAATAAAAGTGCTCTAGTATTGAATATCCTACCAATGAATTTAAAAGCTTAATAATTGTTTGAACTATGGGCCATCACTGCAACAGGAAGCTAGCAGGATGATGCTTCACAATGAGCCCAATGTCTCATACATTTCGGCAATAGGAACTCACCCAAGCTAGCAAGATTCAAGAAATAACGGGCTTGGTACCCATCCTCCCACACGAGACTCTCAATCAGCAAAACTTGTGAATTTCTTGAAGACCTCTACATTGGCCTTCATTTCATTTCTTACTGGCAAAACGCCTGTCGCTATTAGAATTGTCCATATATTCCGGCACTTTTCCTTTTTTGATATCCCCTGTGATACACTTGGAAAGGATGTGACCGTCTATCAGTGTGAGGCCTAGCGGTCTGATCAGGCCTTACTTACTATGGGATCAACAAGATCTATATCGCGGCTAACGTTTGATCAGACTATAGCGGCCAATCAGGCGTTAGTATCAGGAAGGTACATGACTATACAATGGCGTCGCCGCGACGATGCGATTAATCTAGTCTCTTCTAGGAACCTATATGCATTCACCTCAAACGTTCTTCTTCCTTTTAATCCTCTTCTTATTCATCCCATCATCTACATTCACGGCCTTCAGCCACTACTTCGTTACAATCTTTTATCATCTGCTATCATGGCAGCTAATGCCACCAGCCATAATGGCCTTCCTAGTCACTTCTCTTTCCGCCAAGGTATTTCCGTCATCAAGATGGAACTCCACATGACACCTGAAGCTGCTCAGCGCTACTCGGATCTGTGGAATATGCTTGCTGCTCGCCAGCTGCCTTCTGAGCACCTTGGCCTGATCATGACCGTGGTGACCCTGGCAAGACTTCATTCCTCCTTTGCCAACAATATAGTCGCCTGCACCCTTGTCAGGACATTCGTCGAGTCGAAGCAAATTGCCGGGCTTCGCGCTGCCCTTCCTCGCCTGCCGGACGAACTTGCGGCTGTCATTCCTAATCTCTTTCAAGAATCCACTCATGCCATCACGATGTTGCCGGCCATGCCTGCCGAATTCTCCGAGATCTTTTCCCTCTCTGCAAACGATGAAACTGCCCTCCGCCGGGAGCTTATCCACCTGGAACCGAAGTTGAAGCCTGCGATCTCCATCTCGGACGATGAGTTCAACATCATTGTCAATAATCTTCCCGACTTGCCGCCTAGCATGAGTGGTACCTGGAAAATTCCGCTCGAAGTGTTGTCCACTATGATCAAGGAGAACCAAGGTCTCTCCGACAAGCTTGGTATTTTCTGGAATGTCCTCTCATACCAGGATTGGTTCGCGGTTTACAATGCCACCAGCTTCTTTGAGGGCCTTACCAAGTTTGCCACAGCCATCGCAGCCATGGATTGCAACGAGTCCCAGGTGTATTGGGATTTCTATTGCCACTTTCTCCGAGTGATTGTGGCTAGGCCCCTCGCCTAGATGCAGGATTCACTGCATTGTCTAAGCAGCGGTCGTTTTCTTTTGCGTCCTCTCTTGTTTCATGAGACCGTTGCTTCCCATTCAGAAGAGCACTAGCCAGCTCTCACTACGAATTCAGATTTCTTTCACTCGTAACATCTCACATCTTCTTATTCGTAACTCATCATATGCACATAAATTTGATATGCCCATCCCGCAAAATATCAGGCCAGCTAAATGTTCCTCCAGACAAGCTCACCTCGTCCCTTTTGGTCCATATCGTCTCAAATATATGTTTAGCCACCGATGCATGAACCAAGGCTGTTGTCCGAGCGCAATTATCAAACCATGACGAGAAGAACACCTGTAACTCAGGACTAACAGCCTCACAAGCAGTGATGAAAGCCGGCCATATCAGAGCAGCATTATGACTACCCTTCTGATCAATTTCCTCTTGTTGAATTTGGATTAGATAGCCCCGGATGGCATTGACATTGCCCTGAAGCATTTCAGGATCAATTTCGTATATTCGGCGGTGAAAGAAAATAGATAATGCTGTGTACATCGCATGAGATGTTGTAGTCATCACCACTGGAAGAGCTCCATTATAAGGCTGAGCATAGCTTGGATTCGCAGCCTGTAGCAAATGGGCAATAGCTCTTTCCAGACCCTTTGCTCGAGTCCAAAATTCCTTGAGACTGAGCCTACTTTGTCCTGCATCAGACATTATCGACAAGTCTCGCTCATTGGCAAGGCGGATCACTTGGGAGAGTAGCATGAGGAATATCTCATCGATTCCGTATAGCGTGGGAAACAGCGTTGAGCTCCATCGGCCGGGTATCGCAAGGTGGAGGTCACGCTGGGCTATCCCGGGGTCCTTTTCCATGCTCATTGTGGTTGTGGAAAAGACTAAATTGGGGTAGATACGAAAGCCTCCTCCATATGTAGTGTTGTCGTTCAAAGTACCACTTGCCCCAGTCTGATTCATGCTCAATCTATCAGCAATGCATGTTGTCTCGGCCATAATGCGCATGTAAGCATAACAGTGGTGCAATGCTCTCTTGTTGGCTGATAGCGCTGGCTGACTGAGCCCCTTGATGCAAATGAGTTTCTCCGTTTGGACGAGATAGGCGCGTCGCATTTCTGGGTCCCCTTTTATCATCTGTATTAGAGAGAATGTTAGCCATGTACAGTGAATTCACATTGAGGCCATACAAAAGCATTTGAAAGACTCAGCATTGCCATCAAAATCTCCTTATATTTGCTCATTTTCGTCGCTGAGATACAGCTTTCTTCCATACATCGTTGGAAATGGTATTGAGCCTGTGCCAAGTATCTCGCTGCTGATAATTTCCATTGCTGAACGTAAGCCATTGAATTATTTCCCAAGTGAAAGGCACTTGTGCTCCATACGGCATTTAATAGGGCAAGCCGTGCATGATTGGGAGACCCATTAAGCATGAGGTCTGCCAATGTTGCCATTGCGCATGGTATTACCAGGCTCATCCAAGGTGTTTCCTTTCCAAGGCACAAAGGAGAGATCAACGGCACAATTCTTTCTTTGTAGTGGGATAAGAGATTCCAGCCCTCGATATTGCCCACGGATAAGTAGGGATTGAGTTCTGCTTGTAGACTCGGTTCGTGGAAGTCCATCCCAACGCTCTGAAGTGGCTCTTGATTCGGCCCTGCTAGCATTACATCGTCACTGTAATCTGCATCTAGGGCATCTGGACTGAACGGGGTCTGGTTCAAGTCTTCCTCTCTTGGCAGCTCCTCGAGCTGCTCAAACCAGTCACCCGAGGAAGGTTGAGTATCTGTACCAAAAGGTAACGGGTCAATCGGGAGTGATCCTGGGCATCTGAAAGCACCAAAGGGTCCCCGAAAGAGCGATAATGGTTTCGAGCAACTGATATCCGAGTCGAATATTTCTAGATCGACGATTGCCTGGTCGGGATTCTGATCGGGCACGGAGGAGATGAGCTCAAGGGTCATGTCTCGGCGTTCAACATCTGCCAAACATTGTCAGAATAAGCCGATGATAGTTGCATTCAAGGCGGACCTGTGAAGATCGAGTGGCGGTGCCTGGCTGCATTCCCCGCATTCAACCATCGAATATCCTCCTTGTCATGAATAAAGGTTAACTGTACGATTTCTCGCATCTTGAGGGCTGTTGTTATTTCTTGGGGAAGTTGTAGTTCCCACAAAGGACTCGGAGTCTCCGTTGGGGATAAAGCCCAAATTGGAATGTGATTCCGATATCGACATGGTAGGTATCAACCCCGGTCTAACCGAATGACAATTTATTCATTTTATAAGAAGTACCAAGCGATTTAAATCGCCGTCTGCATTATACTTATGTTCAATCTTCTGGGTCGCAAAAATCAGTAGTTGGATCTGAGAGACCTAATATCGCTCGGAACTTCTTACCCTCTTGGGCTATTTCCTTCTCACGTTGAGTCTTGATAGTCATTTTCCAACGTTATCTTAAGCTGCAAATAAAGATTACAGACTTAAATACTACTGCTTCGGATTCCAAGTTATACATGCAAGACGCACTAGCACGTTCACTCGGAAAGACAAGCATTATTCTACAGATCGTCTATACACATGTAGTGGAGGTTTGATAACAATCCGGCATTGAATCTGCAGGGTAACTTAAGTACATAAGTATGGCTAGACGATGCATCCCGAGGTCTGACTCTGGATGACTGTTTAGGAAAACAATTTGGCGATTCGCAGATTGTTGTAGTCCCAGGCCGTAATGTCCTCATATTTGCACGGGGTATCGGGCGTGATAAACTTCTTTAAGGGAAGCAAGGAAGCGATACGGTTCGGTTTCGCAAAATAGGCAACAGAATAGCGCTCGGGGATCATCACATCAGAGCCAATTTTGACGGTGGGCGGATAGGTTACCCGGTGACATGCAGCCATGAATGTATCATTGGTCAGGCGCTGAAGAGAGTCGCCGATGTTCAGAATGATCTCGGACTTTCCCCCTGAGATGACATCATGGAACTTCCCCAGATTTTGCTGGTCTTCCACCTGTAAGCCACCAGTGGAATCTTGAAACAGCATGGTAATTGTTCCAAAGTCGGTATGTTCTGCAATGCGCGTGGCAGTTCCATCTTCTAGAGCAGATGCAGGGACAGCTGGATAATGAAGCAGACGGAATTCGTTTTCAGCCTTGTTGTGCAGTAGTTTGAGATCTGATGCCGAAATATCGAGGGCCTTAGCCAACGCATCGAGGATCTCTAATTCGACGTTGAAGCAGCTTTCATAGAAGTCTTCCATGAATTTTCGGAACCCGGGAAGTTTCTCATCAGCTACCCAGATGTTGTCCACAAGGCTGTCGTGTGAGGAACCCATGTCGAGGGTTTCCTGTTCTCGTTAGAATGGATGTTCACGGCGGATCATGCAGGAAGCACCCACCTTGATATCCCGAACAGACTTCCCTTGAGGGAGGCCTTTATCATAGCCACTAATGGAAGAGACTGATTCTTGGCCGATATAACTGTATCCACGGTTGGGGTTTGCCTCGGGTGGGTGTTTGGCGGTCATCTTATCCTCTAGTGAGAGAGAGAAGAATTGACGGGTCTAGTAGAGACAGTCAATATGTGTATAATCACCTCGTTTGTGTCAACTTACATAGTCAAACATTTTCGCAATCAGATTTTCTGGGAGCCCATGGTTTTTGAGCTTGGCCACTCCGCGCGTTTTGAGTGTTCCTAGTAGGGCTGCCGAAACCGCCTCTCTTTCCGCGGGAGACCCTTTCAACAGGGACAGATCAAGAGCTTGGGACATAATTATGAGGATTTGCTCGGAATTATCGTCTGTTATGAGGGTCTTCTTGACTTTCGAATCAAGAATGATAATGAAATGAGTAAAAGAAGAGACCTACAACACTAGACTATATATATTCGATCACGGATAGGACCTACAAGTGGTAGGTGGCCAAGAAGAACTTCATTGGGAAGGTAATATTGAAGGTATGAACACACAGACCTGTAAATTATGGATTACCTTCCATTCTATCTTCATCTTTCATGATGCGAAGTGTTTGTTCCGAAGATAGTGTAACGCACGCCAAGATTACGCCAACAACGCGTCCCCCAATAAGGAAAACAAAATAGTGGATCACCTTCCTAGTATTTCATTTTTCAAGTACAACATACAACATAGAGATAGGAAAGTGCTGTCGCCTTATCTCGGGGACTGTAGAAGTGTAGAGGTATTTCATATTACTTGCCTACGACAGCTAAAATTCCATCCCTTGGATCTCGGTGTACTGTTGAGGACCACTATCACTTTCCTCTTGCTGTTCCAACTTCATGAACGGCTGTGTAATCTCGAGGCCGCGGAGAGCGAGTGTCCGAAAGTAGGAGTAAAAGTTCATGTAGGCCCATTTGACGAAGCCTCCCTCAAGGACATTCACCTGCTGCTGAAACAAGACAATAACTGAATTGTAGCTCAAGGCATTTTCAAGAGCAATGCGATCTTCGTCCACCTTGATTCCTAGAATCAAAAAACTAAGTCTTGGGCTCAATGTTTGCATAAGGTCTCGGATAACAGTGGCTTCAGATGGTGAAATATTATGTTGGACCATTTTAACAGCCATATGGTTGTGACGCCACCTCTGATACATAGTTTCCATTGTACCGACTGCCGTGAATAGCTCCCAATATTTGGGAGGCGATTCAACGGCCGTTAGCTCAGTCCAAAGTGTCTTGAAAGTAAGCGAGTTGTCGGAATCGCAAACTGGTCGGTCATGGCTTATCCCAACTACCGTTTCCGCCCTAGCCGGTGATGGGTGCAAAGAGATTTGGAGCGAATCTTGAATTTCATTACCGCTGTCTGGCTTTTTGCGCTTGCGGCAGGTTTTGTTTGTGTGAATCGGCATATCCCCCCACTTAATTCCAATGAAGTTGATAAAATCATTGGTTTTGAATTCGGCATCTGGGGACAACTTGTTCTTCCAGGCTGTGGAAAGCCATTGGCCCCGTTGAATTGCTTCATTCATGTTGGTGGCGTCGGCGCCGGGACCAATAAGACGTTGAAGCCAAAGAGAAGACCCATCTTCTGGTATGCAGATACGCTCTGCCCTGCAAGCACAAGACAATATCCCAAACATCACTGCAACCCCTGAGTAAGATCCCGTAGCACCGGTAAGCAAGTATCCATAGAATCTCCATCAAATTAGAATGGCGGAGAAATATCCTTTTTGGTTCATACTCGATCAACTGGAAATTGAGGACATCAAAAGTCTTCACGTGAGACGATGCGACCACCAGACCAGCTTGAAAAAATGGCTGTCCACCTGCGGGGTAACTGTCGGCCAGCAACCATCCAGCATCATTGTATCCCCCCGTGAAGACATATACACCTTTCCACGCGACAAGCGTCCGCTGATTGTTCTAGTAGAAGTCAGCAGTGGGTAATTTCGGGACTCGTTCTTTGCGTACATCCCCTCGGTCGTCTAAGTCATAGGCTAGGTGTTGGATGCGATAACCCGCAGGCAAGGTCAAAAGGGCATAGATGACACCTGCATCCGACAAGCGGACGTTCTTGGGATTCCACTTGCACTGGTTGATGTCCACGCCCACTTCTGCTTCAATAGATTTGCGATCGGGGGGATTTGTAATTTTCCAGGTACGGAGGGAGGCCAGGTCTTCCTGGCTTGACAGAATGCCTGGGTTGAATCCAGTGACATCGCCCTCTTTCCATTCGACTGGGTTGCTGCATTTATTCTCCAACTCCCGCTGAACCCATATTTGGCACCTCTGACGCAATTGCGACAGGTCCTTCAGCCAGTCCTCAATGTTTCTTGTGGAAGGGCATGCCATCTCACAAGCCCGGGGCGGGGAGATAGATGGCACCGATACAGATGTTAGTTGACGGGTGGTTTGTAATTGGAGATGTTCCCCCAGGTATTGCTGCTTCTAAAAGGGAGAGGTCAAAACAGGTAGAAGACTGCTGTGAATTGGAACCAGAAACCTTCATAGACAACGAAGGAGAAAGTGAGACGTTGATGAGGACGAATACTGTCTTTTTAGTGAGGATTTGAGAAGTATAGAGAGTCACAGAGAGAAAGAACTAATCAGATGTTTGAAGTGTGCTTTGTTGACGAAGTATACAACGCCCAAAAGGGAATCGGGCAGGCCTCGACGGTCATTGGACCAAAGCTGCGCGATGGCCGCTGCGGGATGCCGTAGCCCCCCACCAACAAACAGCTTCCTGCGCATCACTTCATTCCTCTCCTCACACTTTTTATTTCTTTTCTGCTTTTTTTATTTTCTGCAATACACTGAGCGTTCCATTTTTTAAAGTCTTTTCGAGACTCCGTACTTGTCATGGATTCCACGGGTCTGGGTAGTGATGGTGCTGCCTACCGGTCTCGTGGGTACCAACTCGAAATGTTAGAGGCCAGCCGCAAGGAAAATATCATTGTTGCGGTATGTTTTTTTCTTCGGTGAGGGCTTAGAAAATGCTGACGATTGATAGATGGATACAGGGAGTGGAAAGACTCATATGTATGTTTGGAGGTGACGCTTCCTTTATCGGCACATTTCCCTGACAGTTGCTTTAGTGCCATTCTTCGGATTATAGATGAGCTTGAAAACGCCAGTTCTCCGAACAAAGTGAATAAACTCGTCAATTTGTATATCTATTCTTGGCTCACATATGTCACAGCTTATTTGGTTTCTTGCCCCGACAGTGGCATTGAGCCTTCAACAACATCAAGTTATCACTAGCCACATCCTCTCTGTGAAAACTAAAGTTTTAACGGGCCTAGATAATGTTGATCGATGGACTGATCAAGGTATCTGGGATAAGGTGCTCAAGGATGTCCGTGTGGTTGTCTCCACATATGCTGTCCTTGCTGATGCTTTGGGCCATGGTTTTGTCCGCATGCCCCGGCTTGCTCTACTTATCTTTGATGAGGGTACATACGTGGCACATCTCAAGGTATTCCAGAATTAAACCAATCTAACATCTAATTTAGCTCATCATTGCACGAGACGTCATCCGGCGAACAAGATTATGCAAAATCACTACCATCCTACTCTACTGAGGTCAGGCCCAAATGCTGTGCCTCGGATCTTGGGACTCACTGCTAGCCCAGTGGTCCGTTCGACCCAAAATGAGCTTGAGTCGGTCCATCTACTACATGATGATAATCATTTTCAGCAACTGACCATGTTCCCCCTAGAACGATCGAATCCAACTTGAACGCAGTATGCAAGACTCCACGTGTCCATCGCACCGAGCTGTTGGAAAACACCCATCGCCCTCATCTCGAGCGTCTCAATTACATACACTTTGATGAAGCACAGTATGGCCTTGGAAGTCGACTACTTCCATCTCTCATAGAATGTTGCAGGGCCTATAACATAGATGATGACCCTTGGATCGAATCATTACGGTTAAAGGATCAGATTGTGGAGCTGGCGAAGGCCCTAAATACAGGTAAAACCTTCTGTAGCGAGCAACTGAGGATCTTCGAGGCACGCAGCCGTCACATTTATGAGGAGCTGGGGGGTTGGGCTGCCGACTTTTTCATCAGTGCTTCAATTGATCAACTTCAACTTTCAATCCAAGATGCTAGTGAAATGTCACATTTGGACCAAAGAGAGAGAATTTATCTTTTGGAACTGCTGCTTACGATGCCTACGCCAGTTGCAGCCGAGGAGAATAATCACGTATCCATCAAGCTTGAAATGCTTCTCAACTATCTCGAAAAAATGGATAGGCCTGGCTTTTCCGGGCTACTATTCGTCAAGCAGAGAGCGACTGTTAGTGTGTTAGCGCGCATTTTATCCCTTCATCCCAAAACCAGAGATCGCTTCCAGTGTGCCGCTTACGTTGGTTGGGCGAGTGATAAAAATCGCAAGGGCTGTCTCGGTGACTTACTTCATCGGGACATGCAACGAAATACTCTCGATGAATTCAAAGCTGGCCGAAAAAACCTCATTGTCGCCACTGATGTTCTCGAAGAAGGGATTGACGTAAGCGCATGCAGTCTGGTCATTTGTTATGACAAGCCTGCAAACCTCAAGTCCTTTGTCCAGCGTCGTGGGCGTGCTCGTCATAGAGAATCTACATATGCTGTCATGATCTCAAATGAGGACGAGCTGTTGAGTCTCCAAAAATGGCAGGAACTAGAGCAAGCCATGATTAAAGCGTACCAGGATGATGAGCGACAGCGTCGTGAAGCTTATGCCATCGAAGATACCGAGGAGCACGTGAATGAGACACTTTGGGTGGAAAAAACGAGGTGAGAGCGATCCAGTGCTTCCCCTTGATATTGGCTGACATCATTTGGCCAGTGCTCTGTTGACAGCAGATGATGCATTGCAGCATTTGCATCACTTTTGCGCTGTTTTACCAGTTGATGAGTATTCCGACAATCGACCAATGTTTTCCTTCCAAGAGAATAGTGTAGGTTTGCTTTTAGGAACGGTCACGCTACCAAATTCGGTGCATCCGACGGTTCGCCGGACAACGGGGAAAGCCTGGTGGCGCACAGAGCGAGCAGCCAGAAAGGAGACTGCATTTCAAGCTTACAAAGCCTTGTATTCGTATGGGTTGCTCAATGACAATCTCTTACCACTAACAAGAAAACCAGAGTTGCGGTTCTCGGAACAGATGACGCTCCCATCTATTGTACAAGCTGCTGAGCAGTATGACCCTTATGTAGAACTTGCACAAGGTTGGGCTTCGGGTCAGCTGTGTCAGACACGCTTGAACATATGCAGCAATGGTTCTCCCGATAACGATCTGGCCGTATGTTTGATTTTGCCAAGATTGACCCCCATGCCACACCCCATTCCCCTCTACTGGAACCCCGAGACTTCCTTGGAACTCTACTTTGATCCGCAAGTGTCGACTTTCGAGGCGACAGTGGAGACACTCGAATATATGAGAAAGACCACGGCCCTCTATCTACAAGCCCCCAGCTCGCGCCAGCGGGGCGAAGAACGCGACTTCGTGGCTCTCTTCATTCCCGATATTCCACATGAATACTTGGGACAATGGCTTGCGGTGCACGAAGGAAAGGAGCCTGCACTGGAAGTTTACTCGAGGAATCCAACTACGCCGCCTACGGGTATCGTCCGTGACCAGTCCAAATTCAGTGAGCCACGGATATTCAACAGGTGGGTCGTTCCGGCCGAGGTGACAAAGACCTCGCCTATTGAAGTGGAATGTTCATCACTTCCACGCCGACGAAATCTCCTCCAGGTACGAACCATCAATATCACTGGAGATGGAGAGGTAGATGCACCAAAGAAGTCCCACGTTCTACCTGCAGCTGTTTGCGTCATCGACAAGCTCCCCGCGAAACAGGCTGTGTTTGGACTGTTCATCTCTGCCATTTTGGACCGGCTGGAGGCATCCTTGGTCGCACACCGATTGAATGATACCATTTTGAAAGGAGTTGGCATCCAAAACATAGACCATGTGATTACAGCTATCAGCGCCCCCATTGCGCAGGCTAGTACCAACTATCAGAGATATGAGTTCTTTGGTGACTCTGTTCTTAAATTCACCGTTAGTTGCCAACTATTTTTCCGGAACCCCAAGTGGCACGAGGGGTACCTCTCGGAGAGCCGTGACAAACTCATCCAAAACTCTCGGCTTGCTCGTGCAGCTCTCGATACTGGCATTGACTGCTTTGTTCTAACAAGTCGGTTTACCCCCCGGAAATGGGCTGCACCATTGATCAGGAACAAGTTGGACCCCTCGACTGCTAAGAGGACCATGTCAAGCAAGGTCCTGGCAGATGTTGTGGAATCCCTCATTGGCGCAGCATATGTAGACGGTGGAATTCGGAAAGCGCAGGCCTGTCTCCATCGCTTCTTGCCAGAGATCGATCTCTTCACGAATGAGATTTCGTCCCTCCTCCCCCCACCCGGGAAAGGAGTGAGTAACTTAATCAACCATCACCGATTGGCCGGTCTGATCGGGTACACTTTTAGTGATCCTACCATACTGACAGAGGCACTCACCCACGCATCCTGCGAGTACGATACATCAACACAATCTTACCAACGTCTCGAGTTCCTCGGAGATGCCGTCCTGGACATGGTGGTCATGGCAGTGATAGCAGCCCACCCCGTGGAAATGGACCAGGGACCAATGACATTGCTCAAACATTCGGTCGTGAATGCCAACCTCCTCGCCTTCTTCTGCATGGAGCTAAGCGCACCAGACGAACCTTCCCACATCACACAATTTGCCAACGGCGAAGTCAACCTTGTGCCACACTATAACCAGATCCACCTCTGGCGCTTCCTCCGCTCCCATGGGCCTAACATCACATCTGCCCGGGAAGCTTGTCTCGAGCGGCACCAGGGTCTCCGTGCTGAGATCTTAGATGCCCTGAGGAACGAAAGCCAATACCCGTGGGAATTGTTCGCCCGCCTGCGTGCGGATAAATTCTTATCGGATATCGTCGAGAGTGTTCTTGGGGCGATTTTCATCGACTGCGGGGGCAATTTGGATGTGTGTTACGCGTTCGTTGAACGTATCGGTCTGGTGTGGTACATCCAGCGTGTTATCGCTGACGGGGTTGATGTTGTTCATCCGCGGAACACCGCGCAGAACATGGTGAAGGGAGCAGGAACCTTGGTCTTCAAGAGGAAGAGGGTCGAATCTGGAGGCGTGGGTACGTATCGGTGCACAGCAGTGGTCAACGACACCGAGATCGCGCTGGTGGAGGGTTGCGCTTCTGCCGAAGAGGCTGAGGTCAAGGTTGCCAACATTGCTATTGAGTACTTGAAATTGCACCCATTGGCTTCTACATGATGTCGAAACGACGACTTGGGAAATTGACGTGCTCTTGAATGAATTTTGGATATTTTCGATTTTGCTTGGATAGATACCATTTGAGAAGTCTTGAATTTTGACAGCCTTCGGTGAAATCGTAAGCTATGTAGCTAATTGACATGCCCAAATAAATAAAGTAGTAAAATATGGTCGACTCCTATGCCTTGTCTCCCTTCGCACCGCGCTTAGACCGCCGCACAGGGGCGGGCTTAGGTTCCTCTTCTGTCTGGTCCTCCGCGTCAGATCCAATGGAGTCCACTTGTTCCTCCTCACTTGAAGTCACCATCACACCCTCTTCCGTACTCTCGGAGGAATGGGTATCCACGTCAGCCTTCGACACAGGCTCCCATGTCCCCTCAGCTGACCCAGTATCCTGACGCAAACTGCTAAGGATCTTTGTTGTCTCGCTTTCCACGCCATTCCAAGCTCCACAGCTGCAACACCGCCAGCGGCCCAGCTCTTCCGGTGTTTTGATCCCAGGGGGAGCCTGGCCGTTGACGAGCCGACACGCGCTGCAGATCATCGCCATCCGGTTGCGGGGTTGGGTTTCATCCTCTCCCAGCAGCACATCCAAGACACGGTCATACCAATTTGGTTGTTCAGTGTATTCGCTGTTCTGAGGGAATGCGTTCGGTGCAAAGCTGGGTTGATTGGTGGGTGGTTGGGGAGAGAAAGAAGGTGGGGAAGACGACTGCTGCGGTGTTTGCGGGGCCCGAGGTAGCTCGAGAGGGGGAGAGGGATAATTGGGGGATGGCGGGCTGTTCTGCGATGCCGAGGGAGGACGGCGAATGTTGGCAGTGGGTGGCGGCGGGAGACCAGTGCGAGGCACATTCTGTAGCTGCTGTGCGAACTGCCCCTTCTCGGTTTGTCTCTTTGGGCTCGGGGAGGACCTGGGAGACTCACCACCGTACTTCTCTAGCAGTTGCTGGGTGGAGTTGTACTTGGTTGCGACCTTGAGCTTTTCGATGGTCTCCTCGCGCTGGTTTTGGAAGTCATCAAGACGACGTTGCATGCGGGAGATTCGGTAGTCGAAGATTCTGGAGCTGAGAGTGCGCACACCATATATCCTGAAGAGACAAGAATGTCAGCGATATGGGAACGTGCAGAATAAGGAAAGACGAACAGGACCGGCCCGCCTATGATGGCTGCATATTCCTTGATTCCCCAGCTCTCCCATCCCAGTACGAGGGCGAGAATTATAGAGTAAAACAGATAGGCAAATGTCGAGTAGAGCGTCCACAGAGCCTTGATTCGCCGGGAAGACTGACGTTGCTGGTCGAGTCGCGTGGTGGCTTGGGCGATCTTGGTCGACAGCGTCGACAGTGTCTTCTCAAAAGAAGCTGCAGAATTCGTATCGCCCTGAGTAATATCAGCGATAGTAAAGCAAGATAATCAAGTACCATATATCTCACCTTCCAGGGCCAAAAAGAAACCATTATTCTACATACATAGTATGCCTGTGAACTGGGAAGGAGAAGCTCGACAGTTCCAAATTTAGGAAGGCGATACGCACGGGCCACCTCAGGTCGGCTCCAACTTTGGGGAGTCTACTAGGAAGTCCACCTAAATAGGGGGTCATTGGATTTTGTTTATTTGTTACATTGTGCATGAGTATTTCGGATATCATTACATAGATTCCAGCTATTCATTTTTGTTGAGTTGCCCTTTCTATGACTTTCCGAGCTCAGCAGACCGAGCAGTGGCAGCTTGGACAGACTTGTCGACGATCTCTTTAAAGTTGAGAGACTCAAATGTCTGGAGAGCAGCATATGTGGTGCCGTTGGGGCTAGTAACGTTCTTACGCAGCTGAGAAGGGCTGTCAGCGCTCTCAACCAGCATCTTGCCAGCACCAAGACATGTCTGTGTAGCCAACCGAGTGGCTTGTTCCTCAGGGAGGCCTAGAGCAGTTGCACTTGCGATCAAGTGCTCGACCATGGCAAAGAAGTAGGCGGGTCCAGATCCTGATTGGGTCAGATCGATACTTGTTGATGGCCTTTTACGTAGGAGACTTACCGGACAATCCAGTGACAACATCGAGGAGTTCTTCGCGGTCCACCCACTCGGTAGCCTTGCTAACACTTCCGAGCATAGCATTGACAAGATCCTTCTCATCTGGGGTAATGTCGGCGCCGGCAAAAGCACCCGAAGCACCCTCACCAACTAGGGCAGGGGTGTTGGGCATCACGCGAACAGTGTGGGCGGTACGGCTATCGCTCGTTGTCAACCACCCCTTCAAGCTATCAAGGGTAATACCCGCAGCAATGCTGACGACAACGGGCAAAGTCGCACGCGGCGACCAGGCACCACCGAGCTCCTCGCACACACTCTTGGCAACTTGTGGCTTGACCGCAATGATGACCAAATCGGCATCGCCTCCAGCCTCAACGTTAGAAGTGGTGGTGCGCACTCCGAGTGCGGCCATCTTCTCGCGGTTGACATCCCACGGCTCCGAGACGCAGATATTCTGCTTGTTGACCCCCTTGCTCAGCAGGCCGCCAATGATGGCGGAGGCCATGTTGCCACCGCCAATGAAGGCCAGTTTGCTCTCTTGAATGGAAGGCATTGTATAGATACAGCTGAAAGGGTGCCCAGGTGTCGTACTGTCCAAGTGCGTAGTCGGGGAGTCCCGCACTTATGTAAAAATTTGGTGGGGCACCTGGACCCGCGTTATCGCACCGGCCCGGTGTTCCAAGCGGTTGGAGAAGCTGTCTATCTTTTGGTTTCTGTTTTTATTACTCATTAGGTTTCTTGAATACTCTTTATCACCCTCAATGAAAAGGGAAATAATGCAAAATTTACTTGTAGATTGGAAATTAATAACGGGGTTGGCTTAGAGACACTAAATGGAATTGAATGCTTTAACTAGCTGTTATGGCTCGGTTACAAATCATAGTATCTCAAAAAAAGAGAAGACAAAGCAAAATCCAAAAGCTGAAACCGTCATTCGTAACTCGTGATAGTATGTATACAGGGTATCAATCAGTAGACACGTCGTGCGTGGCTTCCACGTCCATCAGTGCCATGCATGCGGCGGGTTCCAGCAGCCTAGTTTTAAGATGTTAGCCCGAGTCCAAGTCGAATACGAGTCGTTTGGTCCTTACCTTGACTGCGGGGCGATGCGTCAAGCTTCCCTTCAGCTTCAACATAGCGCCGGAGACCTTGTCGCCAAGTGAGGGTTTGCGCTGATGGCGAGTATGGGTAGATTTTCCATAGGCGTTTCGATGACCAAAACGACTCCCAGTAGGACCAGTACGACCAGTAGGACCAGTCCGGCCAGTATGGCCAGTGTGATGATGGCCTTGCATGGGGTTCTGCTTCGTTGTCGTTATGGTTTTGACGGAGCGCGAGTTCGCGTTTCGCCCCTTAAGTCTGGTCATCAGCGTAGGCTTTGTGGTGCGGGTGGTTGTGGTAGCCGGGCGACGTCGATGAAACATGGTGATGGACTGATGGATGTTGTATGTAGTTTAAATGTTTGATATGGAATGTATAATGTATACAAGTGTGGTAGGTTGGTTGTATTTGCAGTTAGGTGGAAATCGACGTCTTTAAATCAGCTGCAGAGATGGCCTTGGGGTGACTTGATGTCAAGCAAAACGTACGCCAAGCGCCATGTCGCCTTCAAAGATAGCATACAGGAGACGTTGACAAAGAGGCGCTCAGCCGGCGCGTCATCCGAAGGACGATCTTCTCTGGGAGTCTGCAGTTAACTTGCACAGGACAGGAGACAAAAATGCCACCAAAAATAAGAATACATGCTATTGGTATAAGATAGATCGTCCTTGCAGATCAAAAAGTTAGACAGGGATATATTTTCTGACTATGTCTTAATGACGAAGACAGGATGAGCGACCTTGGAAGATGACGAGTTGAAGTTGTACAAACGTACTTGTGTTGTGAGACGGAGGATGATGTCATATGATATTGCTCTGTGCGCCTGCCAAGACATCGTTGTACGCACTGAAAGCTTGGGGAAGATCAAATGATGTATTCATGCTAAGCTACCTACGGATAGGAGGTCGCCTCAAGTCACCTTACCGACCGACCCAAATTGCTTCGTCTGCATCGCTCTAAGTTGTCCCACCATAGTTATCGACCGTTCGGATGTCTTTGACGATTGCTCGCTTCACGTCCTTATTCATGCTAAACCCAACTGCGTTGCAGCTTGGGTTCGTCAACGACATCAGACAGGTCGACAGCTACGACGGTACAATCCAAGGTGACGCAGCTCGTTGGTGGGGATAGATTTTATCCCTTGGGAGGCCATCGCTGGTGGGATCGTCTGCAACGGTTCCTCGACAGGCTACAGGAGTAGACAAAGCCCGAGTCAGGGCATATCAACATCTTGTTTTCGATCGTTCACGGCCGGGCTGTGGTAGAGATGTAACGCCAGTCCTTGTAAGCTTGGCCTGTGTCAGAGTGATGTGTTTCCGGTCTGATTCGATGATCGCCTTAAAAGTCACTTGCACCGCTGTCAGGAGGAGCTAAAGCCTAAGAACGATCGCGGATCTGCGCAATAGCCTTATAACTCTGCTTATATATTCCAGCTTATCCCATCTGTCACATAAACCGCACCTGTTCAAAACAGAACAATTAGCCATAGATCATGCAATGGTATTGCAAATTAAAAATAACAATTTCAGTAACTCAGAGACCAATATGAAACAATGTAGATAGACACGGATTCAACACATTCTTTGCAGAAAGGGAAGAGGTCAATCATCATAGAGACTGTATATGTTGTGGTTTGCGAGGGGAGGACCTGAATAGTTACCTGGACCAGTCGGAGTATTCCCCCCAGTGGGGACGATTGGTGGCGGCGGGAACTACCCTGTGTTTGTATTAGCCACTCGTGCCTGGAGATATTGTTCCTGAAGCGGCGGCGAGTGAGGTTCTGCGTAAAAGCGAATGGGTTTTTCTTTTCAAGTGACAACGATCGCTATTTGTCATTCACAGACGTGGTGGGGAGAGGAATGAATGGCTTCCTCCATATTCGTCTTGAAATGAGTGATAATGGGCCAGAAATGATGCAAAAAAGGTGTGGTGAATTCCTATTGCCTCAAGGTGGTTTGGAGGTTAAATCCGAATTCCCCTGAGTGGTATTAAATATCTGTCTCTGGGCAGGGCTAGGGCATCGGCCCTATTTCAGAAATTTACGAGTAAGGAGAGATTATGGAGAATGTCGTCATTGAACCGTGCGACGACGGTGTACCCACCTAGAAATATGTAAGGGCCCATATGATAACTAGGTGAGATGTATGTATACACAAATTTTGAGTCAATCTGGCAAATAAAAGACCATGATTGAAGGCGTGATCCTGTCTGTAGTCCTCGATTATGCCTTTCTCCAGCGGCTACCTTATTTTGCCTAGGATTTCTATTCAATATCAACTAAAACATTATATGCGCCGAGATCAGTCTGGTTGACGAGATACCCTGTGCAGAGACGCCCAAATAACATTGATTGTAGTGGTTCTGGCCAATAAGTTTGACTAGGAGCTCTTATATTGAAAGCTGCTAAAATAGGAAAGCCCCACCCGGCAGGGAAAATATGGCGGAGTGACCTACGTACTTGATTTCCTCTGCCACTTCTTGGCCTTCTGTTTCCGTTTTAGTGCTCAGTCCTTGCCGCTTTTTGATCACTGAGTACAACTGAGCACGCCCCGGATCAGCCTGAGCTGGTCAGTGATCATTATGTAATCAGCCTGATTCACTCACTGAGCCTGACCTGAGCATCCTGATTCACTCACTGAGCCGGACCGGAGCACTCCCCGATTTGCTTACTAAGCCCCCCCGGAGAGGAGTGACCTGAGTAAGCAAGCTCAATAAAACGCGACACACTAGCTCGACCCCTGTATGAATTCTTTCCTAACAAGAAAGCGTTGGCGTCACGATTTTGCCACTGAATTGACGATCTTTCCCGTTACAGGCGATATGTACATAGTGGACGCTGTTTAATTTACAATTAGCCTTATCTTACATTAGACGCTCCTAGGAGCGTTCTCCGTTTTCTCTAATTCATTGACCAGTTTGGCTACGAAAGCGAGGATGACGGTGTGTATTTCTCAGATGGACTACGAGCTTTTGTGCATCTTTACTGGTCACTTTTAGGGTCCTCCTGTGAAGTTTTCATACCCTTCTACCGTAACCGTAGCCAAAGATCTTCTAGGGCCACAACATCATGCCATTTTCGCCATATAGAGTGGATAAGAATGGGAATGTTAGATCTGCTAGCCGTTTATGCCCAAACAATTATTCCTAGGAGCTCCGAGGTGTTCACGAGAACACCTCAGGGCATCATGTTTCGAGCTAATAGAATAATCAATCTCCAAGCAAACATTCTTCTAGGTTCCCGGGAACTTAAGTCTGACCAGAGCATGATGTTATTGCTGCCTATTCTTTTATTGAAGATATAAATCTAAACAAATGTTCCCCCATATGCCGTTCAGAGACTGCTCTAATGTACTGCATAATTTATTCAATTGAGTAAAAGTGAGTGCACAACGAATAAGTTCATCTTTCTGTCACTGATCGCTATTTCAGATGGAAAATTTTCAACCGTTGAGCGCCAACCAAGTTACCGTTCAAGTCGCTAAATCCGCGCTTTGCGGCGTTTAACTACTCCTTGAATCTCTCAATAATGTTCGACTCACCAGTGAGCTCTCGACAGAATGATACGATCGAATTACACGCAGTGGAAAACATAATGCGGAATTTAATATCCCGATTAGAATCGTCAAAGCTCTACTCTTTCAAGCCTGGTCATGAAGTGCACGAATCTCTTTGCCCGGCACTCAGAAATTATAGAGACGTATGCCTTGACTTATGGTGGACTTTTACCAACTCCAGACCATGTTCAGGCAATTATGGTTACATATGCGGGGTGGATGAGAGCAGTCCCAACATTGGAGTCGCAAGCATGGCAACTAACCGGAAGAAGGTCCCGTCTGACCAGAAGAAATTCTACGAGAAGGCTGGCTTCTACATCAACAGCGGTGCCTACGTCCAGCGTCCTGAAGTTATCGAGAGCTTCTACTATGCCCACCGCGTTACCGGGAAGGAAATTGCATGTCTTCATCATACCACTATTACGCTTATTCTGATGGAATTAGCTAACACATTTTTAGTATCGCGACAGTGTCTGGAATGCATTCGTCGCAATCAACGCTACCTGCCGCACTGACTCCGGTTTCGCTGCTGTGTCGAACGTCAACCAGGCCAATGGTGGCTCAAAGTACGACAACAAAGGAGAGCTTCATTTTCGCCAAGGTCTTGAAGTTCTAGTATCTCGCTCATTCTGAGAGTAGGTGTACTGTATCTAGCCCTGTTCGTTGAATCATTGCCAATCAGTGAAAATAGATGCCGCATGGCAGGTCCAGGAGGGTAACAAGAATACCTTTGTGTTCAACACTGAGGCTCACCCTATCAGCGTCGTGCCCGACTAGATACATACCTACAGTATCGACTGCTTGTCGTCTGATGAGTAATCATCAACAGAAAATCTGCCCTACGCAGTAGATGCCCTTTCCTATACTTACGGTAACATACGACTATAGTTCTGTTGATTACTACAAATTGCGTATAGCATCTCAAAGAGTCTCTGAGAGAATGAATTCACTTTAAACAAGTAAATTAGCAGCATAGGAGATTCAAAGTGATTGCACGTGAAAAACCGTATGGGTAACTCGAAAATTGCGTTTACGAAATACTCACAGACTGAGCATCTATATAAGACGGCTATTGCTTCGTCATTACATGGATATTAAACGCTTTTCCACGGCTTGTGTTCTAGGCCAAATTCGGTGTCCAAATAAATTCGGTCATTGTGTCAATCTAATAAACATGATATTGAGACGTTTTGACTCTAAAATAATCATCCACCTCAGAGCAACACTAGAAGTGATGAATGAAATGCGAAAGCAACTTACACGCCGCAGGATCTATGCACTCTTGATACACGACTCGCTAGGCTAACGGGGAGTGGTGCCAGCCAGCTGACTTAGCCTTTGTGTGCTATATTGTTCCACTTGAACTGATGGGACTCAAAATGATGTGGAAATGTAGATATACAATGTAGCGCCACGAAACGAGAAGAAATGAAATCCTATTAATTACAGCTCCCAGGAAGACAGCAAGGTAAGAGCGGCTTCCTGGGAACGTAGAATCCCATGCCGTTATGACCATCACCAAGCGATAACAGATGAAAATAAAAAACGGCTTGACCACTGCGCAACTTATATCTTCATTATTTTCATTCAATCCCAGACCCTCGTCAAAAATTGAGTTAACGAAAGGTTTTGATTTTATCACCCTCCTATAACAACTTCTCCAACACACTCAAAAGTCCTGATTTCATTGAAGCTTTTGTGTCGATCATCATGTCTGATTATCGGCAACGGAGCCCCGTCGATCCCGCGTTCCTCAGCGATAATAATAATTATGATCCCATCTCGATTGACGATGATTCTGATACAGACACAATCCGCATGGACTCACCTGAGTTCTGGAGCGGAATAAATGCAGAAAAGGCCCCTGTTCAGAATGCGCCACATAGCGTTACGCTTACCAAGTCTACTCCGGTTTCAACATTCCTGAAGTATCCCAGTTGCGAAAAACTCGATTGCACCTGCCCCGTTCGATACCCAGCCTCAACGCAAGATCAGCTGGCAGAAGAAAATTCTGAGACCAATGAAATTGAATCAAGTGCGTGAGATCTGCTATTGATGGATATGTCCCTATGATTGGATGGTACTTAGACTGACAAGCAACAGTTCCAGGCTCAAAGCAGAGTCAGAAATCTGATAGCACTGGTCCAAATACCACGGAATTTACGACTCTGTCGTACGAACAGTTCAAAGGTCTCGGAGATTCCGACCAAAGAAAATACTTCGAATATTGCATTTCAATGCTACACCCAAAGTGTTGCAGCTCACCTCAGTCATATACTACCTCAGGATCCAGGGGAGAGGCACTTAATACTTTACACGATGTCACCGGGAGGATTGGTGCACCTGGGGAGGTGGCGATTACAGAAACAAATGTCCAGCAAGGACATAGCCAAGCGGAAGATCAGTACTTGATAAACGTCTGTGCCGCTGACCTGAAAGAATCCTATATCTAGAGCAAGATAGCAAGATACACAGTGCCAATGAACTCATTCTTATCGTCATGCCGATATACGCCTACCAGTGTCAGCAACCTTGATGTTGCTGAAATGAGCGCCTTGAGTCGCTTGTGAGATTGACAAGCCTGTGTACGGGAGAATTAATAGAATTATTAGGGGCAGCGGCTGAAAGGGTTCTTGTCGTTCGTGTCGTTGCCCTCAAGACCAATCATGTCGAATTTCTAGTCTTTGGCGTGCGTTGGCGGCTCGGCTGAGGGCTCAAATTCAATGGGCTTATAGCCTAAAGCCGCGTTCCAATTTACCGATTATCCCAAAATCGTGACTCGCGGTATAATCAGATATATTCCTAGTATAAACGCGGGTCTGTGAAGATTTACAAGTTTAGGCGCAGTACGGGTTTGAACCGCCTTGACAACTGGTACCCACCGCACATGTAACACGTGGGGTCCAGGTATTGCCGATGCACTGCTCAAGCACATTACCATCGCATTTCCAGGCGTTGTCCACACAGGTCATGCATGGGCCGCGAGTATAGCTAGCAAATGAGCCTGTTGCCATCCAAGTCTGAGCCTCGGACGCAGGCGAAGGCTGAGCAATGGTGACCTCAGCAGTGCTTGACGTAAGGGCATCAAACTCATAAACCTGCTCATCAAAAACCTCCCATGAAATCTCTACGTGGCCAGCGTGACAAGCGTCTCTGGACAGCTCTTGAAGCACTTCGTGGCTGAGGTCAATACCCGGTGCGGCGCTTGGATTCCACGTTCTGCTAGTTGAAGGGCCCGAACTGCAGCGCCCACAACCGTCTCCGATAAAAAGAGGCAGGGAGGACGGTTTCCCGTTGACAGAGACAACGACCTTCTTGCCACAGTATAGAGACAAGTCTGTATGAAGTAGGGTGTTGTTCATTGCAACCAGATAATTAGAGCTTATCTTCTCGAGGGAGAGTCCAATCGTTGGATTGCACGCAACGTTGCCTTGGTTCATGGAATCGTATGACCAGCCACAGACATGGGGATCCTTGACATCATAGTATTCAGTAGCGAATCCCTGTCCACTGTAGATGACTGACTGAGTAGAAGCGCCGATAACGGAAAGCAGACAAGCTGCTATAGAAAGTTCGAACATCGTATCACTGTTGAGGCAGGCTGAGGACAACTTATCGTGGTTTCTGGAGTGTGGTCAGGTATATACCAATTACTATTAAATGTCTTGGAATTCTCTGTGGATGCATTTTTGGAAACTTGTGTGTTGGAGTCTCGGACTGCTGTTTATTTATGTGTTTATAATGTCTTTTGGCTGGACAACCCAGACGGCAAGAGAAACTGAGTAACCAAAAGTTTTTGCGGCCCTGGCGGCCTGATGAGTAAGACTTGGATAGAAAGAAGCAAGGGTGTTACAAGTGTGCTCTGGTGCGGCCACTCACCCTAGGATTCACCGGTGGTGAGGCGGCAGCTCCATTCTCAGTATGACTGCAAGCTACGTTGATTAGAAAATGTGTGGTTAATTGCTGAAACTTCAATCACACCGAATACACTACTCATACGATTTCCATCGCCTCGGGTGTCGTAATAGTACTCGAATGTTGATTTTGTCACAACCCTATCGTGCACGGTGGAGTTCCTCACGCCAACTTCAATATGTGGATTGGGAGTGACGGTGCTCGGATGCACAGGTACCTGGTGGGCATCTCATCACACTGGGCACTTCATGTCACCGGGATGGGGTTACTATGGAATATTGGATTTGTGCCCTGAAACGAACGAAGTGAGAGAAAGGGTTGTTGGTCACGCTGACATGTGATGCGCGAGACGTGGAAAGAAAGTTTTAATAGAATGTCTTGCCACGCACTTCTTTGATTTGCTCCTGCGTGCTCCTGCCCCCACCCCCACACCCCTGCGAGTGCCCTCTAAATTTCCCTTTTCGGACTGGCCTGTCTTGGCTTAGGGTTGTAGGGCTATATCTGCTGGGATATGCAAGATTCTGCTCTCTTATTGCTTCGCAAACTGGATTTTTATTGGCTCCGACACTGGTGGAACTTTATGCTATTGCCACTGATCTTCTTGCCTTGGGGGTTTCTTGCCTGGCGGTTTCGATTTTTTCTCTCTCTTCGCTTTCGCTTTTCCACATTGTGATGACCCCCTTTTTTATAAGATAAGAACAAGGAACTGTCTGCCCTAGACCAGGCTAGCTCTGCGCCTGTATTGATTGTAATCGTCTAGTACATTTGTCTTCGAATATTCAACCACCGACGTATCGTTCCGGCCGCTTGTCTTGCTCACTAACTGATATTGTCATTCGTCCTTGCATGCGCTGGATGGAACCGAAAGTGCTTGACAAGCAAGTGCACCAACTCCGGAGAGGCGTTCACAAAGGCCAAGGAAGACTTCATTCGCGGATATACTTGCTCAGTCCAAATAAAGAATACGGCCGAGGATACCGAAGCTTATGTCATCTCTTGTATTGCGGGTATTAGTCATCAGAGGGCTCATTCATTGGCTTATGTAAGGTTTTATTCGTGTTTCGCGCTTTATATAGTACATTTCAAAGTCGCTTTTCACTTCTAGATTTTATTCCCCCTGACTTTCGTTTCAGGGCTGATGCGTGCGACGCGCGCGTCTTCCAGTTTGGTCACGTTGACCTGTGAATTACTTTATGCGGTTAGTTTTGCCTTTTTGGGTTTAGCGCCCCAATACACTGTCACGTAACCTACCTTCAATGCCGCCGACATAAAAGACCTGTCTTCGCTGTTCTTCCTCCCCTCTCTCACTTTTTCGTTCTTCCTACCCCTCTATCTTGCACTCAACGCCGCCCCCTTTCTTTCACTCTGGCCCCCACCGACTACTGCGCATTTGCTTTCAGCCCGACGCACTGCCCTTTTCATTTACCGGAGACGCCGCTCGATCCGACATCCAGCTTGCAATGCCCATCACCCAGAAGCGTAACCACTGGGATGATACAGCATCCTGCCATGTGATTGAAATTATTCCTATATTTTCTTTGAGGGTTTGAGCGAAATTGCCTAGGACTACCCTAGAAGGACGACGGAGATCACACAGCGCAATCACCAACGGCGCTTAGGGAATCACCTCCAATTGGCGACTTTGTCGATCATAAATTTTGGGGGCCCATTTCCAAGAAACAGAGGTTTTTGGGGTAATACAGGGTATCACCGTTTCAATTGTCAAAATTGTAAACGATTACAGTACGCTGGAGACCTGCTGTATCCCATAGCGAGAACAGAGGTGAGCTTTCTATGTAAGTGTGCCCCGGCCGGGTTACGCCATTTCCCAGACATAGGAAAGGGTGGAACCCACGGCAGACAAAGCCGATGGCTTAGGACCTTGATGCAAGGATCGGATGCTTATTGTAGATATCAAGCTTTCAGCCAGGATCAATAACCCGCCTACGCCGAAATGGTAGGAGTCTTTTGATCTCAAGGGTCACAAAATGGATGGCCGGGGCTTCTGAGGCAATCCATGCATCGCGCACTCGAAGTTTGCCTGACCGAGGATGGAAGATGACTTGCAGATTCTCGGCGCCTTAGACTCTCGTTTCACCAGGTATTGTCCCTAGTGATAGGTCGCGCAAATTTTGATGTGACTAAACAATACCACGAAGGCACTCGCTCCAGTATAGCCCCAAACGACTCTACCGATACAGCCCTATCGCACGCATCTTCCGTGAAGCTTCAGTACTTGCTCAATAGATCTCATGGCATTAACTAGTTCTGACTCGTGAGGGTCGGGAAAGCTCCTATTAGGGGGATAATTTACTTCCTGGCAGGATGGGCCACCCGCCTACGACTTTTGGTGTGGTAGCCCACGTCAGTGGGCGGCCCATGTTACCTGGAAGCACGTTATGGCTACTGTAGGTGATCCCACGCCCCGTACAGCGATACCAACGCCTGATACTACCCGTCAACTTCCATCAATTACTGAAGAAATCCTATGGACCATGAGACTGTTCCATAGGGTGCGGCATTATGTGGCTGTCACCGAAGATGGGCTAACGCTTTGGAATGTCACTGCATCAAGTCAGGAACCCGAACAATAAAGCGCACACAATTGTATGATGCTATCTAACTTCTGCGTATCCGACATGGCCAACAGGAAGAAACCTCGTAGCGATTTCATACGTTCGCCTGCTTTTCGTCTTCGCCGACTGATCGCGCTAACTCAAGCACAGTCAAGTCTACCCCAAGGGGAAATTGCACCAAACGCCTTGCCCCACAAGGCAGAAAACCAGGACAACCAGTCGGACAGCCCGCAGTCAGGGGGTGATGTGCAGGGATCTACCCGTCCAGCGCGTGCGCAAAACATAATTTTGAAGCCTCTGAGGTCGGAAGCATTCTAATTGACAAACTTCAAACTTACCAACCAATGACTTACCATGTCGACAGTATATCCGAATGAGCCCTAGCTTGCTCGGCTCCGACGTAAAGTAGTTCGCTTCCCAGGAGAGCTTCAGCCGGATAATTCGGCTGCGCAGCAAAGTCTTGATGAAGACGAGGTTGGACCAAGTCTCTTTCACCACTAGTACGACTACCCACTTCCCATGTTCCCCGAGATTGGCGACCGCGGGTAGATTTCGGTTTTGAATGAATGTGATTGGTAGGTCATTTCTGCTTTTTTGCAATACGCGTTCGACTTTCGCCTTTCGGGCCACCCCGGTGGCCCAAAAATTGTCTGTTTCTGGCCACCGGCAGCGCACAGGGTAGCTTCGTTGGCCTCGGTCGTTAATACGACCGCAAAGAAATCACCATGCTTCACTCGCTTAACAAGAGCAACACTTGCACTACGCAGACTAGGTCGAGCCACATAATCTCGAATGCATGCAAGAATGTGTCGGTAGACCAGTCTTCCTGTCGGACTCGTTAGGAACATTTCATTCGAACGTAAGAGTCCATTAGGTAGAAAGCGACCCGATTAATTTAGCGGGTACGGGACTGTGATCGACAGGTTCGCAAGAACAGCAGCCCGCAACAGCCCCCGCCCACACCCCGGCTCAAGTGGGCGATTTGACTGTGCACGAGTTAGCTCAACGGCCTACCTTATTGCACTAACGCGGAAGAGGAAAGAGCACGAGCATGATTAACGTCTAGACTCCGAACGCGAGACTGACTTGCTCCCGTCCGGTGGAGCTCCCCTATTGCCAACAGCGCTTGCAGTCACCTATCATATTGGACGGAATGTGCGACCTGTTTGCAACTGGGGAATACGGAAGCTCAAACGTCGGACGGAGAGCTCTCCATTCCTCCATCACTTGGTGGCGGCAATTTTTGGTACAGGGAGGATCGAAATCAGTTTCACCGCTTACACACAGATTTTCTTTTCCCAAACCCTCCTCCAAAACCACACTAGACCTAAAATAGTTATTCTACCCCTCACCCCATTCTTGGCGGTATTCCAGTACAGCGGTAAATAAAAAGGTAAACAATCGCATTTGTATGGAATATTTTGGGTTAACTTGCGCCAAAAGCGCTCATCCTGCGAACAGATCAAACCGATCAGAAATGTCTGCGCGAAATATCTGTGCGAAAGATCTGTGGGATGCGCTGGGTGTTGGACTTTTCACGTGATGTATCTCGGGGTTCCTTGAGCATGGTGCCCCCTCTCAAAGCCGCCGCCGGCCTTGAACAATGGGTCAAAATAAAAAGGAAGTACTGCGGCTAAAACTTTTTTTTACCTTGCCGGCCTGCATTCCAAGATCATATAAATGGTTCAAGACCATACCTTCAGTCAGCTTTTGTCGTTCTTTTCCCCTTCTCGTGAATTTCAGGGATATTGCATGTGACACCGCGCGAGCAATATGGCTAAGTTTCGATATTTCTCATAAATTTTTGGGCAGCAAAATATATGTCATGACACGTTGTCGATGGTGATAGGGTGAACGAAGCTTTGCAGCCCGGCGTCAGACCATAAAACCAGTGATCTGACCCATTCTACAAAAAATAAGACTAACTCACTGTCTGCTTGGAACTCAATTGTCAGTAGCACCTCACGAGCTGTATCCATTTTATGCCAGGTGAGTGCTACCTACAAATCAATGTTCGTATACCGGGCTTATGCTGAACCTTCGTAGCAACGGATACGTCACCCACCACCCACCGAAGTATGGAGCCTTCAGGCAGGTGCACTCTTGAAGAAGCTATGCAGAATTCCTCTCTCGTGAAATCTCTCGAAAAGCTCAATCTGCAAGTCGACCAATCCCCAGAGTTCGTTGATACAAAAGGCCAGATTGCAAGCCTTGTTGCGAGGCTCCAAAACTTACCTACCAAACCACCATCTCTATATATTGATCTCGAAGGGATCAATCTCTCACGGCACGGTAGCATTTCGATCTTACAAATATATGTTCTTCCGCACAAAGAAACCTATATAGTCGACATACGTAGCCTCCAGGAAAAGGCCTTCCTACAAACGGCTTCTGAAAAAGGCCAGACTCTACTCAGTATTTTGGAATCACCACATATTCCCAAGGTCTTCTTCGACGTTCGAAACGATTCCGATGCACTATTCAGCCACTTCAACGTTAAACTTGCTGGGGTCATTGACCTTCAACTAATGGAATTAGCAACCAGCTTGTTCCCAAGAAGATATGTCAGTGGCCTGGCAAAATGCATTGAGCGAGATGCTCTGCTTACGACCCATGAATCGCAACTTTGGAAGGCATCGAAAGAAAAAGGGCTGAAGCTATTTGCCCCTGAACATGGCGGAAGCTACGATGTGTTCGACGTGCGCCCTCTTCCGGATGACATTATGGAATATTGTGTGCAAGACGTCAGATTTCTTCCCAGACTGTGGGTCCAATACAATCAGAACATATCCCTGTCTTGGGCTGAGAAAGTCACAACGGAGACTTTAAATAGAGTCAAACACTCTCAAACAGCCATCTACGATGGAAAAGGCCGATGGAAAGCTCAAGTGCCTGTAGGTTGGTGGTAATTCTGAGATGGAATTTTCTATCATGCTATAAGCAGTTTTCAGGTCGTTTGAAATTTGAGACGATTTATGAAAAAGGCCACAGGGTGGCAGTGTTTTTGAGATACTATTAGGATCGCATGGTTGTTATTTGCTAGATCTCTAGGCGGTAAAATGAACTAAGATTACATAATACACCGGCAAGCGAGAGCCCTCACTTGCCCGAGCGTCTTGGCAAGTGCCTCTCTGCCTGAGGCACCTAATTTGTAAGCCCGATAAACCGCAGGGGATCACATTTTCAATGGATGGATGTCACGTGGGGTATAATCTTTCAATACATTTCGGCCAGTGAATTTGAGCTAGGTCAAATAGAGTTTAGCGTGTTTCGAAAGAGGGTTCTGGAAGAAATCCGTGTGCGTAAGTGGTGAAAGTGATTTCGATCTAACCTGTACGCTTTCCGTCGTGCTCTTTCCGCCGGAAAGTAGTTAGTTAGATTGGATGAATTAGGTAAGTAATGACCGCCGAAAAGGTACTGCCAATTATATCTCGACCTCTGGCCTCCCTTTATAGCCAGTCGTTTTTTAGGACATATATCTGGGCAGATGCTTCGGCTCGCCGGAATCGAAATTCCCCCAGGCCCGGGGACATACTCACTAGTTACACGCCTGACGATCAGTGCGCAAGTTGGATGTCGTTTGGGGGCCGGTAAATGGAGACGCTCGCCCCCCGACCGAAGGCGCCCCCCCGGTTCCTTCCCCCACCTCACCTTTAGGCCTTCCCTTCGCTGCCGGTTTGGAGAATGCACCCAATCAGCAAAATCGGTACAACTGAAGTTCAATATTCTTTGGATCTTACCCACATGCGCTAGCCGTAAGAGAGAAAGCTTGGTCACCCCATTCACCCACCCAAGGAAGTAAATTTGGTACCGAGTCCCCCTGCTCGTGAAAGAGTTTCCATGTTTTGCGACCAGCATAAAGATGGTAATAACAAAAAGCACTGTACTTGTCGCGCCATTCAAATCTGGCAAGGAACCCATCAAACCCATCACTCCCTGGAGTGCGTTCCCTTTGGCCCAGAATGGGATTCGAGTAATTTCCAGACTCCTGAATCGGGAGATCGTTGGCTGTACGGGATGGACAGCGCAATATCCAATAGAATAGTTTGGGGGCCGAAATATGACTTGAGCCACCTCAAAGATTTGAATTGGTGGGAAAGAGAACCGAGAAAGCAGCTATCCGTAGTCTACTGAGTACAACGCCATCAAGATAATTCTGTAAACCATGAGGCATGAAAATTACTTAGAAAATCGCACTTGGCTGATCATCTGCTAGCATTCCGACTATTCCTTATCGGCAAGATGGGTCCACCTTCCGACTTCCCCGAAATTATCTCGCTCCTAGCCAGCTAGATCAAGGAGAGTCATTAAGTCAAGGCACCATACTGTAAGAGAGCAGTCCTGCCAATTCTCTAGATGTGGTCGATTTTGCTTGACTTCAGCTTGCCAGAATGACGACGCCTATACACTCTCCTCGTCCAAGTTCTTTCGCTTCTTCACGGAATATTTTATCCCCGGCTCTTCAGCACAACGACCTGAGAGATGACGCTCTCTGGGAAAAGATCCATCGCATTTTGGCATTTCGAAAGAATGTCGCTCATATGGTGAATCGGAGGGATTCTATCAGTACCAAGCCCAGAACCAGAGAGCCTCCCACCACCAGGCCCATCAGCCACATGCCCATCAGCCACACACCAATCAACCACACGCCAATCAATCACACGCCTATCAACTACACACCAATCAACCCCATGCCTATCAACCATACACCTATCAACCATACACCTATCAACCATACACCTATCAACCATACACCTATCAACCATACACCTATCAACCATACACCTATCAACCATACACCTATCAACCATACACCTATCAACCATACACCTATCA